TCATTAACTCAGAAACTTTGCCCTCTGGACCGATTCTGTCTCCCACTCAAAAAATTCCAGCACAGTCACGTAAATATGACAAAGTCTCTATACCAAAAACAAAGAATTACTCTGCAGAAGAAATAACTGATGCCTTATTGCTTGCCCAGAACATGCCCGGTATGCTATCAGCTGAGAATGCTGACATTTTGGTCTCAGTGCTTACGCACCCAGACCCTTCATTACAGCTGTCCGCATTGATGGGTATTAACAAATGCTCAACTTTTACACGAAATCAGGTATGCTTGTTATTTCTTTGGTTAATTATTAACCAACTTTATCTTTGGTTTTCATATGTTTGTGTGGTGTCAGTTGATAACTATAACATGTATAATATTTTCATTAGAGAGCATAAAGTGATGTGAATTACTTAATGTTGATGCCATGGTTATGATTTAGGATAAATTAATTCATAGATCTAGTCATCAAGGGTTTCAAATATAGTTTGGGCTGCCTATAAGAAATTTTATACATACAGCTCTTTGGAAAAAGGTTTAGCATCTTGTAAAATCTTCATGTTCATGTGAAGTGTTGTATTGTTTTATAGTGGTTTAAAGTTATTAACTATAGAAACATAACGTACAGTATTGTGATAACAATAATATGTTACATAAACGGATAATCATCATGAATATTATACTACAATATTAAAAAATTCAAATCAAATTAACAGTTCATTGAAATTTAAAATAAAAACAAGTTCATGATCACTCAATTAAGAGGTCCATTCACGGATTCTTTCTTTGGCTTTTGTTTTTGACACTCGATGTACACTTTACCTGCCAGGTTTTGTAAATGCCAAAATGCTCCAGATAATTGGCATTTTGTTTATTATCTCTGCCATGTCCCTGAGATTCTTTTTCTGTGACTTTTCTTTTTCCTTCTCCTCAGCCTCTGTGCGTTTTTCTGTCATCTGACTTTCATCATCACGGATCCTTACGGCGAACGTGTGATCTTAACAAAATTGTTGTGGAAAGGATAGAAATGCGTCTTGATCGTATAGTGGTTTATTTAGACTCTGTTATTAACTATAGAAACATAACGTACAGTATTGTGACGTAACAATAACGTTAACATACGTTACATAAATCCGCGGATAATCCGTGATATGAAGTATTGTTTTAATTAAAGTCAAAATTATCATTGATTATGCACAAATCATCATGATCATGTGCGAAAGAATGTATAAATACATATAAACATGGTAAATGCCAAAATGCAGATAATTAGTAAAGGAGCCTCCTCAGCCAAGGACAGTTAATGGACATAATGACAATGACAGTCACTTGAAGTGAGAGTCAAGACTCTGGGTTAGATATTTTTACTCAGCTGATAATAACGAACAAATATAATTTAGACCAGACCAAACTGTTAATAATCTGAGTCAGACTTGTCTAAATGCTGTAAGCATGGTAACAGGGATAGTTTACGTCGACCAGTTAGCTCCGTGGTTAGACACCTGCATGGTTAGCAGGAAGATCTGGGATTGAGTCCCAAACTGATTAACATTTTCCCGCTTGTTATATTTGGCGCCTCATATTGGGCAAATGAGAAAATGTATGGCTGGACCAGGGAATTGAACCAGAGACCCCCTGCATCACTAGTCAGGTGCTCTACCGACTGAATTTTTACTACCCAGGCCGATATCCAAGGCCCAAATCATTACATTTCCTCACTCCATAAATTGTCTTTGCACTTAGAGATGCAACCCAAGTTCTTATTAGCTCCTGGCAGAACTCTCCCTTGCAAATATAGGGTTGGTTTAGGTAAATGGCACCAAATCTGTAACAGGAAAGGTGAAAATGTATGGCTGGATGGGAATTGACTTACCTGGGACCCCTGCATCACTAGTCAGGTGCTTTACAGCATGAACTACCCACTAGGCTGATATCCATGGCCCAAACCATTACAATGTAATGTCAAATAGTCATATTGTAGACACTTTAAAAGAGAGTTTTTCAAACAAATCTAGAGCTGGTGATTTATTCTACAGAACAGTGCAGCTCTGTAACCTTAGTTAGTTCCCCAAACATATTGTTACTGAACAGCTCAACAAGCTGAATGTAAAACAAATGGTCCAGATAGAAGAGAGAAGTGAACAAACACTTGATATCACAGGTCTCCATTGTCAAATTTTTGGCAGAAGTAAAATGCAACTGAGGTTTTCCAATTTCTACTGAAAAATTCAATACATATAAAATAATTTTTAATTGTCTGACAAGGATTATTTAAAAGAAATGTTTGTATGGCCTACTCTGTATGTCAGATAAAATGAGTTACTGATCAGATTTTAAGATTTGAAGACAAGAGAGTGGTATTATAGTCAGGGGTACATATTGATTTATTGTCACAAGATGCGGCTCAGTATTGATTTACATTTGTTTGTTCAGTGCACATTGACTGTAGAGAAGACGTCTTTAGAAACAAAACCCCAGCAAGTGAAGGACTTGACTCTGGTTACTTCCTTTCTATTCGAGACAGATCTAGTCTTTATTGACTGTCAAGTTTTGTTTCTCGTTTTGCAGAGGTAGGGTACATATTAAAATATACATGTATAATATATATGTATTAGCTTTTATGTTTACTAAAACCTTCTTAATTTGTAGATTAGCTTGTTAATTTATTTGAAATGAGGAAATGTAAAGACAGTTACAAATGTGGTAGTTGGGCATGTTTCGTCGGGGGTGGTGGTAGTGGTGGGGGGGGAAGGGTAGATCAGTTGGTAGAACATCTGACAAATGAATTTAGGGGACCCTGGTTTGAGTCCTAGTTTGTGCCATTGCATCTTCTCTTTATACACCTGTTTAATATATGTAAAGAAATATAAATAAAGACCATGAAGACAGAATATGTCTTATTGAAAACTTCCTAATCCTAGATGACCATGGCGTTTTCAGTGGACCTTTTAAATACTTTGTCAGCAGCCTATATAGTAGGGTGCAGCTGTGAGTACATGTAAAGGTAGAACTTACCTGAATATGTAAATGTATCTGATTCAGCCTTAGTATCTATTAGGGAACAGCTGTGAGTAGATCAAGATGTACTTTTTAGTAGTACTTTTTATAGGTAGACCTACCCCATCAGTCTATCAGGTAGTACCTGGGGCTGATCGTCCAATCAATACCGCTGTGTTATTGGTAGAAGAAGAAGGTAGAGGTGATCTATTATTTATCCTGGTTTGTTCTCCCTGGCCTGTTTTGTCAGTGGGTTCTGTTATTACCGGTGTGTTACGTTAATCACTTAAAAGGTGTTGAATAATTTTATAAGATTGTGCAGGAGATTTGAGATTAATAGAAGGTATTCATACTTTTCTTATTTACAGCTTGAGAGTATTGAGAAATGATGTTTTTGTTTTAATTTCTAGTCACTAAATGATAACATCATTTTCTGAAGACTTAAATTTTTCTCTATTTTTTTTCACATATGTAATAAGATCACTTCATGTTCTTGATCTTCCCAGAATATCCTCTGAAGCAGCATGAGAATACTTAGTCTGTTAATTAATATGTACTTCTTGAAGTGCCAATTCAAGTGTGTTCAAATCAAAGTACACACCTTCACAGGTGCCATTATTTTCTATTGCTACATTTGCAAAGCTACAAATTTACCAATCAGATACACATAAAATACTAAAATCTTGGACATTGAGCCAAGTGGTTATATTGCAAGAAATGATGTTTTTATATATATACTCATAAGAAAACCTTTTTATTTTTATGCCCTGTTATCAAAGATACAGGGCTATAATTATGAGTTTTTGCCCTGTCCGTCCGTCTGTTAATCTGTTTGTCTGCGTAAACTTTAACCTTGCCTAAAACTTTTGAGTGAGAAGGGCTAACTAACAGGTTTTGTATTACGTAGGTATATTTCTTGTGACATTGATTAGACCCACTTTTATCAAAAATTTTCTAACATTTGCTGTGCTCATAGCTTTTGAACAGTTGGTGCTAAAGCTTTCATACTTCATATGACCTTTTGTATTCATTGTTAAAAGTCCTTTCAATAGGTATAGATATTTTTGACCTTTTGACCTTGACCTTAGAGTTTTACTAACTTTTAAATAATCTTAAACCTTGGCCATAACTTTTGAACAGTTAGTTAATAAGGCTTTCATATTTGACAGGTATATATTCCTCGTGACCAGTCACCTTTCTTTGGGTACAAACAATTTTGAATTTTTGACCTTGGAGTTTGACTTGCATTTGAGAAGCTTCAACCCTCGCAATAAGCTGCCTTAGGAGGGCATCAGAGTTTCACAAGAACATCTTTTTTTCATATTTGAAAAACTCTGCCAAACATTTTTAATTTGCCCTGCAGAAGAGTAGTACCCCAGTTACTGTGAAGAGGTTAATTGATAGAATTGTCCACGAAAAGATTTTTGTTGGCTTATTTAACATGATTTCATAATTTATGTTGTTTCTTTTGATTGAAATGCATTTTTAATTCATTATCTTTTAATTTCTTTTCAGAATCTCTTAAGAGAACATGGTTGTTTATCCCAGCTGAGTCATTTATTGCATCAACAAGTACAGAATCTCTCCAACATGTCCCAGAATGCATCAGCCAGTGAAGAGGATCCAGAAAAATCCAAGAAAAAACCTAACAATATGTCGGAAAGGTTCATGAATCTGCTGGCTACGGCCATCAATAACCTCTCCTCCAACGAAGAGAACCACAAACAGTTTGAGGTACCGTGTCAACTGACTGATGTTTTATTCATGATATAATTTATCTTTTAAAACTTTCATTGGGATATAAATACGGGTTAGTCATGTGATCAAATCCCCTAAGGCCTAAAGGCCTTTGTGGTAGATTTGATCACATGCCAACCCCTATTTACATCCTAATAAGTTTTAAAATGATAACTTATTACTTATATGTACATTTGAGACTGATTTATAATACAATATATCTCCAGATTCTTATGCAAAACTAGAGAGGGTTGGGGAAATTCCTCCCCCGCCACCCAGGTAGTTACTGAATGTACATATTAAAGGAATTTGAAAAAAAAGACTATACAACATTAATTCCCCGGCCTCCATGAGAAAACACAAATGCCTTTTATTTTGGTAGGAAGAGTCTTAAGAAGCCGGGGTCAATGACACGCACAACCATGAAATGTAGTTTCTACCAACGGGAAAGACGTTTATGCGCAGGGGGAATAAGGAAGCATACAAAATATTCTACCTTGGTTAAATCAGTGCTGCGTTATGACGTCATAGTAGGCAAGATGATGTCAATTTTAGAAATCAGGTTTTCGTAATATTGGTATTTAGCGATGTAATGTAACTCTAGAAAATGATTAGAAACGTGTAAACATTAACAAAAATAAAATGTTTTTATTTTGTTATGCTGTAACAGTCATTATGATTGAAATCTACCACCGATGACGTCATATGTGTATATCAAGTAACTTGGAAATTGATCATGTCGTGTAAAGAGAATTTGGCTAAGACGGCATGTTCAAAGATACGTTAAATGGAGTTTAAAAGGAAATATCGAAAATATTGTGTTAAATTCATATGGAGTTCAATTAATTAAACAGGTATGCTAATTTATCTTCATCGATTATATTCTCTTTCGAAGACAGTCAGCTATATTACGTATCCCGGTCGACCTATCGTCCGTCATTCCTGACCAAAAAATGCAACAGAACAACAATAAGCTGGACATTTCAAAACATACGATTTGTACAGATTGAAAGTTTGCGTTTTGACAAACGTGGAAAGTGCTGCTAGAATCCCGAGTTAAGCATGGTTGTAAAAATCGATTCATATGTATAAAATTCAAAACTAAGGGTAAGGTTTCGGGCGAATGTGTGGAATAAATATTTTACGGAAAAGATAGTTGGATTCTAGCAGCACTTTTTAGACAACATAGATGTTTTCCACACACAAAGACAGCCTTTTTATTAAGGAAAATTTTGCAATTATGCAATGATGCCATGGCGGTGATGCACGTCTTTGCGTTAGGCACGCTTTTATCAGTATGCAATAGTAAATAACAGTTTACATTTATCAGTGGTTTTATTAAACTAAATTATCTTCAAAAAGTCTAAATTTCTCTAGAAATTACTTATATGCTTCCTTAACATACCCGCGTGGTTATTTTTGTGTTCATTTTTATCAATCTGATTTAGTTGAGCTCCTGAAGTTGTTCTTTACTTATCAAGTCCATTGACTTGTTATCCTTCCTGAACTTTGCCTTATGAGGTTAATTTCTCTGTTTTACACTTAAGTACCTCATAAGATACATACATTATAAAAATATTGTTACGATTATCAATTCTTCATTATTGTGTTTGTTGTTTGATTCATTATCAATTCAGTCCGAGGGCAAAATGTCCATGATGTGTAGTAATGATTACAAAGATTCTGTAGGTAAATAAATACCAAGAAGGAAAACCAAGCTTATACAGATTGTGTTTATAGCTAAAGGCTAAATAATGTACAAAAACACCATCACAGAGAAATGATTTTGTATTTACATAGCATGCAGAAGTTCAATACTGGTCTGTTCAATATAAAGAGTGTTAATTATTGATGATGGAATGTTAGGGAGAAATGTTTGGTCATAGAGAAGGGTAAGATTTATGACTTTTATTATATATCTAGGTCAAATAAATTCAGATATTATTTTCAGGTCATGTTTGCTATTAATAGATTTCTTTTCTCTGATATAAGATTTATTGAAAATATTTTAAAAACTTTTTTCCTAGAAATGGAAGACTCTTTTTCAATGATTTTTGAAAAGCATTCTCCGGCTGATTTGACCCAACACTGCTTTTAATTTGCATCATTAATGATAATTATAATCAAATCAATCTAAGAGTACATTCAGGGCAACTTTTTCTTTGCATACTGGTATTGTTGCATTAACTGTGTAACAAGAAAGAAGAAGATGTATGGCTGGGCCGGGAATCGAACCTAGGACCCCTGCATCACTAGTCAGGTGCTCTACCTACTGAGCTTATAATCCAGGCCGATATCCATGGCCCAAACCATTACAATTGAAAAGAAAAAAATCCATATTTAGTATGACAACATTAGAATGGCAGTTAAACAGACATTTGATTCAACAACCCACAAAGCTAAAACTGAATACCTGGTAAAGCAGAACTCGGTTATAACGAAGTCACGGGGACCTATGAAATTACCTTGGTATATCCGTAATTCGTTATAACCGTATAAGAAATTCATTAAATTTATATATCTTGGAATCTGAGATGACTTCGCTTTCTCCGTAAATTCGCAATATCTGTGTTCATACTAAATGAGTTTTACCTATGCTCAGCCTGGCGCAGCACTGTTAAGGCCTACTATGAGAAATCAATGGAAAATAGACGTGCAAAAAAGGGGGACTTTTTTAAAAGTAAATTTATTTTAATTAAGCTGTTTTAATATCACAGAACATCAATACTTATTGAAATAGCATAGTATAACCCACTCTGTACTGTATGAATTTTGGTCCCATCGATGGACAGTCACGTGATGAATGCATAGTTCGTGTATTGAATGTAGGTCATGAACAAATTTCAATATCGCAAGGGCATACCCTAGTTGAAATTAAAATTTCAAGTTATTATTTGTTTCTGCATACTTTGTAGTTTCTGAAAAGTGCTGCTGCTTTGAATAGAATTTGCGTTTTAATTAGGGATGTCAACGAATAGTCGACTATTCGACTGTCAGTCGAAAGGACCGACCATCGAATAATGCGACCGACTATCGACTAAATAAAATACGATAAAAAAAGAGCGAAAACTCTTAATTACAAATTTATGAAAAAGTTCAATGTATAATCTGATAATTGTCAATAACAATTGTTTTTCTGATAAATTATGAATCACTGTGCTGGGTTTTGTTTCTAAAATTATAATGAAAACACAGTTAATTAGACATTACATTCCATGCATACATAATAGGGGCCTATTGTTATTTTAGTCATGTTCAAAGGTTCACGTACGGTAGCCGAGACAATAATTTGATAATTATTTTTATTACTTTGTAGTGTTGTAAGCTAGAGGATTTAACCGTTATAAAGTTAATACGGTAATCGGAATTAACAATATCATACCATGCACACGGGGACCTGACGTGTAGATGCTGTTTTTATCTTATTTTATTTAAATGAGTTTAAAAAATATTTGCTGGTAGTTTTTGATGTATAATAAAACTAAATAAATATAATTTCATGTAAACATAATAGCTACAAGTCAAGTGCCTGTGAATATCTGTCAAAAGCATAATGCATACACCAAAGAAATAAATCTTGCATAGTCTATGCAAACGAAAGTAAAACGGAAATCAAGATTTTATTATGAAAAAAATGTTCCGAATAGTCGACTATCGTTCGAATAATGCAATCGAATGTTCGACTAAGGAAAATGAATATTTTGACATCCCTAGTTTTAATAGTTAAATTTTCAGGTAAATAAGCCAATGTCCAAATATGTTTGACTTTTACCAAATATTTTGTGTACTTATAAAATTACGCCTTCGATTCAAAGAAAGCAGCAGCACTTTTCAAGTTAAGAAAAATATCCTTTATCTATATTCAAAAAATGGTTAAGATCTATGCAGTGTATGCCCTTGCGAAAGTACGATTTTATGAGGCATCTCATTGTAAAATATACGTAACCTGTACATAAAAACACGACATAATTAATAAAATACATTGTCTTGATAGTTAATTAATAATCGCACTAAACAAAGGATATGCATTGGTATTAATCGACTATTTAAAACCTGTAAATAATATTCCATTTAATAATAAAACACATTTTTCATTGTTAAAAAATTCTTCAATCTGCCTCTCACAGCACATGAAATGACGTCATGTTTACAAGTTCATCGCGATCAGGGCTTTGTCTATAACCAGCTACATGCGATTTAACTAGCAAGTTTTTTAAATGCATTGATAAGTTTCATTGTTGTTTATTATGCTAATACAGTTAAAAGTTGCAAACTATTTCATTTTCAGGTATAATGAGAAATACATAAAAGTCATATTTTTGTGTGACGTCACAGTAAACTTTTCCCGTATAAATTAGGCCCCGCCCCCTTATTCAAGCCTTAACAATGCTGCGGGGTGATATAGAATATATTTGATTTCGTAATTCTTTTTGCATCTCAAGGACTGTGTACTCATTCTCACGACTGGCTGATATAGTAAACATAAATGACATTTTTAACCTTAATATTTACATAAGATTTTTTGTTTCTCTAGGACTGCCCACCTATGCTGGTTGACATAGCGATCATTACATAATTTTTTGTTATTTTAGAAGTACGTACCTATGATGGTTGACATAGCAATCATTACATAATTTTTTTGGTTTTTTAGGACTGCGTACCCATGCTGGTTGACATAGCGATCATTACGTATTTTTTCTTATTTTTAGGACTGCGTACCCATGTTGGTTGATATAGCTCTGGAGGAGGAGACCGGAGAGTCGGTGCGCCTGTCCTCACTTCAAGCCCTCACTAATCTCTCCGTGATGGATCACCACCACAACCACTACACGCGAATCATTCAGCGACTCTACGACTTCCTGGACGACAACAGCGCCGGAATCCGTCTACAGGCAGCCAAGATCCTCGTCAACCTGTCCTGTAACTCAGATCTCGTACCACACATGCTGGCAGCTAAGGTCAGTCGTTCTTACGCTGTAGCACATTTTCAGGCTTATTACTGCTACGTTTTTTTTTAAATTTTCTTATAAGGAATTATTGATGAGAGAATATATGGGTTGGAGCAAAAATTTACATAATTAAGCATGACTTCTTCAATGTTACTGTTTATACATTATCTCCCCTAAAACCCCATACAGAAAAAAAAAAACATTAACACTAAGCTATGTATTTCAGGCGCCGTCCTGTGTCCTTGACCTGTTGAGGACCACGGCTGACGAGGCCATGGTTCTGCGCTGGACCACATTTCTGGCCAACATTCTCCACACCGTGAGGGAGTCGCACCTCTCGGCCTCGTCCCTGCCCCCCGACGACAAGGCTCCCAGCCCTGAGACTATGTACTCCGCCCTGTACGGCATGAACAACATCGGACACATCAAGTCCAAGGTCTTCCTCCTCTGTCAGCATAAAAACGAGGACATTAAACACCAGGCCTCCAGAATCTATCAGACATTGAACGCTAAATAAACACTAGGCATCGAGGATCTATCAGACGCTGAACGCCAGATAAACACCAGGCCTCGAGGATCTATCAGACACTGAATGCCAAGTAAACTGGGTTGTAAAATTTGTGTGATTTGTGTGAGAAAGATGAGAGATTTTTTTTTCCTGTGATTTTTAGTTTACAGTGTGTATAAAGACTTTTAATGACATACATACACTCAAAGTGCTGTGTATAAATGGAATATAATTATATTTTTTGTTGAGATATCGGATTGTTGTGTCTTTCACTTCATGCAATTTTGCATGTAGAAATTTTAATGGGGTTGTAAATTTTTTTATTAAAATTTATCCCTTCATATTCGCCTTGTTTTCTATGAAGAATTTTAAGAAATAGTGCTCAGATGAATTCATTTTAAGAGCCATTCTCTGTAATGATTTGAAATTTTATATAGGAGCTGTGGCACGCATAGTCTCAGAATTTCTCAACTCTCTATGATAAAAGTCATTGATACCGAAAACTGAAATCAGGCAAAAATTGGTTGCTATGTTTTATAGTTACAATGGCAACATGTCTTAAAGTTCGAAAAATGGCATTTTTTAACATGTTTAAAGCCCCATAATTAACATTTGCGGCAAAGCAAACAATTGGCAATGACTGTTTCCAAAAGTTTAAGGTCAGATGTCTCAAATGCATGATAAACATGTTTGGTAAATCAACTATTACATACGTTACTATGGTAACAAAGTATTCAAAAGTAAAAAAAATATTCATTGAATTTTATAAAGCCATACACGTAAAAATAAGAAGCAATTATAGGACGAAATGTGACCAAATAATAGAAAAAAGAGCCTTGAAACATATACCAAGAACAAAATATGATATTTCATTTTGGGTGGCAATTGTTGCCAAGGTTTTTATACCACAAAGAGCCTTCAAAGTTTTTATACCACAAAGAGCCTTCAAAGTAACACTTTGTATGTTTAAATCTGATCCTATCTTTTAAAAAAGCAAATTTCCTCATAACTAATGATCAATTTTTAAAGATATTGGTGTGCTCCTATTTTTCGCATTTGAAAAATTTCAGATTAGATTCTTTAAATAGAGCATTGCTATGGAAATAAGCAGAAAATATATGCTTAAAAACCTGAAAAATATTTTCTTTCCTTGGATACGTACCCTTAAATGTGGATTCCCAAATCTTTTATGATTGATATTTATTAACAGCTAACCTGACTTTTAATTTTGACTATCATCCAATCTCTAAGTGGATGCAAGAAGTTGGCACACAGGGTTTAATATTGATATACAGTTCACAAAATCGAACATTTTCCCTTCTTGGTAACCACAGCAACAGTTTTGTTTTCTTCATCAAATTTTATCAATAAATGACATTCAACTTCAGTTCTAACAGATAAGTAATATTCAAGCTGAGTCCTTTAATTTGTTTCTTGATTAAATGACAATTTAATTCTTAATGCAGTGAAAAATAATTCAGTTTTAAGCACTGGTACTTTGTTTCCATGGTAACACTGCAAAGTAGCAATTATACCCAATTTTTCTTATGGTTTTGGTGTTGCAAGGTCCTAAGGATGCATATTTGCAGTCTTGAATTTTTCATATTTTTCCTCAAGACAGTAGCATGAACCCAATCTTAGTTCCTGGTTTTGCATGGTTACACTGTGTTACCATGGCAACCATAAAAGTTATTTATAGAATAATATTGCTTATACTTATTTACTTTAGGTCAAACATTTTCATTGTTTTTCTTAAGTCGTTGATTGAGTCTGAGCATGTAACACCTACCATTAGTGAATACGGAGTGTTTTCCAGCATATTTCGGCATTTTAAATGTATTCCAAATGTACCCTTGGTTACCACTTACTTAGAGAGATATTCTAAACAGTTTCTTTATAGTATAAGTGACATCAAGATGTCATGTTTTCCTTAGAATGGTTTGTTTGCTTTTTCTAGTTTTTATTAAGCCACAGTCAAGATTTAAAATGGCTGAAAATCTTGATTTTTCAAACTTTTCCGGCTGTTGCCATAGCAACCAAGACATAGAGCAACGAAATTTTGTTTGATATTTGTTTCTGGTGTCAAGTACTAAGCATGGGTGAAATTTCATCAAAATCGGTGACCATGCGTGGCAACGAAGTTTAAGTGGTTACAGAGAATGGCTATTAATATGCAATACAATGGGAATGAAAATCATTTTGCTATAAGCATCAGATCATTTTATGTGTACTTTGCTATATGCCTGTTTTTTATGTTTTACTGAGCATAACTCATAAGAACAGAAATTATTTTAAAGCATTTTCTCTCCTACTTCCATGTTAAATAACATCTGAAAAGTGCTGAATTTACACCATGACAGGCGTTCATATATTTATATTCACCAATATTCATTTGTATAGACAAGGTGATTTCTATACACATTGATACATTTACCCCTAACTTTGTTTGTGGGGCATATATCAGGGATGACTCCAAGAAATGAAATACCGGGGAATATTTAAAAAGGTTCCCCCCTATACATGGTAATAGAGAGAAGAGTAGCCAGGTTTTTATGTCTATGTTAACCAGGAAATTCCCTGGCCCTTAGCTCAAAGGGACAACCCTGGTGTATATTAATTTCTTTCAAATCTAGATCTCCTTTGACAGAACAGAGCTCTAACCTTTCACCAATTCAGGATTGATAAAAAACACTATAAAATTTTATACATGACAAATAATTTAATATTCTTCATAATATATGCTTCAAGGCATTGTAATCATAGGAAAAAAGTAAGATAATAACTTCCAAACTTTATATTCACATTTTCCATCCATCATCCAGTGGAGTAAGTATTAAAAAAAAGACATACAATGTTCTTAGAATTACATAAACATTCAGAACCATTCAGATACAATGCCTTTGTAGAAACAAAATAAAATATAGCACTCTTTCAACAAAATAATGACAAAAAATAAAGATTCATAATAACTATGAAGGGGAATAAAACATACACTACTTCTGAACATTCATGTTAATCCGGGGGTGAGGGAAATTATTATTAAAAACAAACAACACACTCTGTACCCTATCTCACATACACACACCTTCACTCAATCTCGCAGTCTTCTAAAACTTTCACAAAATTTGCTCAAGTAAAAAAAATATAATCCATCCTCCCAATATCCTGACGTTTTTGAATGGCAGAAAATCCTGATTCTTACTAATTATTGATAATTAATCTTAGACTTAAGTCACTAACACAACACATTTCCAGTAAAATTGTGGCATATACATCAGTTACTTAAGGTATAATTCACTAATTATCAAGATTTACGAGTGACAACTAAGCATGTACAGGATACATGTAATTTGAATACTGCAAAGATGTTAAATTATGATATATGATCGAAGTCTAATGCAAGCATCTTAAATGGAAATAATAAATCTTATCTCAACTAAATTCTTTTAGTCTTGATAACATTCATTTCAATGATTTGGTGTAATTGCTCATTTACAGCTGTGTGTGCAGATCACTTAAAATTGCAAAAGGTTATTATATTAACTAATTCCTTCATTGGCTTTTCTTGCAGTATTAAAATTAAAACAAATAATTTTGAAATTATAAATTCACTTTAGGAGCAGTTTAACGAGCCAACCCTTTTTTAATAATTGCAAATATTGAATACCTAAAACTGGAAATTATCTGCTTGAGAATCTCTATCTAATCTAACATTCAGTAAAGGATCAATGTAAGCCGAGGAGCAGAAGAATTCAACAATAACAAATTATATTTCAAAATGACAAATTATAAAAAGGGTTTCAAAGTAATGGCTTACTAGATATTTACACGTTTACAATATTAATAAAATAAATCAGCTCATAATAGTTATGATACATGATACACACAGTTTCTGTGACATTAATTTGCGTTATATCACAAAACACTGACTTGCAGTCTCAATGATTGAATTACAGTAAAAAAAATACTGTATACAGGGTTATTTTCGCCCTGTGTTATTTTCGCCCTTTCACAGTTCAAACAATTTTACCCCGTTTTAAATTGGTCCAGTCATTGTTTTGTTTAAGAAATTAAACTGTATTCTTTTAAGTAGCCCCGTTTTAAATTCACCAAAATGAGGATAGGGCAAAAGGGGCGAAAATAAAACGGGGGCAAAAATTTCCCTGTTCACAGTAATCAAAAGTAAACCCTATCATAAAATGTCAATATAATCCAATTACTTACTGAATTAAAAATTGCAAAGTCAAATGATTTAGGATTGGGACCAGGTAAATTACAAGTGATTCAAATGTCTCTAGAAGCAATACATGTAAAGGAGCCTCTATGATGAATGTGTAGAATTAAAATAATTAGGTCGGCCCTGTGTTAGCTGTGGGGGGCGGGGGAGGGGGGTGAGGAGGCAGACTTCTTCAGGCTGTCCAGGTACTCTTTCTGGGACTGAGCGATCACCTGAGCCATTATGTCATCCTCATCTATCCAATCTGAAAGACCTGAAGAATAAAAAGCATATTCAAAATTTAGCCCAATGGAGTAGTTGGAGGTATCGTAAATTAGCGGTACACACATCTGTGCCATGAATTGTATACAGAAATGATTTCTTAGCGGTAATCATATATTAGCCCGTCCTTGACTGCATCTAAAGCAGCTAAAATATGAAGCCCACTTTTTTAAGTATACAATATATTCTAGATATTTTGTTTTTTTTGACTTGTTTTAGAAGAAGTGTTCAACAATATATATATAGACAGACAATAAAATGTAACATTCAGTTCCTATAAGTATTCAAACTCTTCAAATCCAGAGAAAAATAAAGTGCCGCGCCACAGCATGATACGCCCGTCAAAAAAATTACAATTTTCTTGAACAGTTTAGGTGCAAGAAAATCACATCAAACTTGCCCGTGATTCTAAGATTTCGATGATTTTTCAATTCCTTAAAATATTTATCCATCCCCTGTGATGTAGGCATCAATTATAATAAATATTACATAACTGATAGATTTCTGTGCTGGTTGTGTTAGACCTTGTCAAATGCCCATCATCAAATTAGTCTTAACAACTTAATCTATACCAAATTAATTTTGAAAAAAAAAAGGCTGGCCATCAAATGACATATGTTATAAACTGACCAGCAGTTCTTCTGTCTAATCCCCAAAGGGTACAGATAAGAGACAGCTAGCCTTCCTACATTGAACTCATTAATAAATCTTTAACTGGATGCTTGTCTACTCATTACTACCAAGAGATGAATGGGTCTGCACTATCTACTATAAATTTTGTTTAAAAACATATAAAATACTCAAAGACTTTTTTTTTTGTTGAGATTTAATTTCCAACAGGTTTTAATATGTAATTCATAGGGACATGCTGATTCCACCCCACCCCATAAAATTAGTTTTTAAATAAATAATATTACATAATAAGATTAGTCTACAATGCAATATCAAATTAGTTTTAATTACTTTTCATCAAATTAAGCTAGTCAACAAGAGCTATAGCCTATTTTTAATCAAACAGGCTTACCCATTTGCCCAATACTCAAGGGACAGATAACACCAATGCTCTGGCAGTTAGCTCCTCGCACTCAAAACCCATTAATTTCTCTCTAATTTGACATGCAATTTTCTGTTATCAAAATTCTTTTTGACCAGTGCTTGATAATTACACTCAAGGGAGAGGTAGGATTTCTCTAACATACATTATATTTGTTATAGATTGCTGTCAAGTATATGCTTTAATAAAATAAGTATTTTCTTGATTTAACACTTTTTTAATAAGAACAGTGCAATACTCTTACATTATTTGGGATGTGTAAATAAATAGTAAAAAGACATATTTTTTTTTTAATTTCACTTAAATTAAAGGTCACAGTGACCTTGAAATAGGTCGCGACACACCTTCTACCTAAGACGCATAAACTGGCCAAGTTTGATGATTGTAAGTCTTATGGTTTTCTTGTTATGGGCCGGAAAGGATTTTTCCATATTTGGCTATAACTTCTTAATTAAAGGTCAGAGCGACCTACTTTTTGTACGCGACACACCTTCTACCCAAGATGCATCAGATGACAAAGTTTGATATTCCTAGGCCTAGTAGTATTAAAGTTATGAGCCGGAAACGAAAAAGCTAACAGACAGACGGACAGACGGACGGACGGACAGACGGACGGACACGGAGCCTATAACATAATACGTCCCGTCTTAAGACGGGCGTATAACAAATTCAAACTATGTTGCATAAAAATTATGTTCTTAAAGAGAAAACTGCACCAAAACCTTTATCCTGGGATGCCAATGTCGAGGGTATGACATAAGCTCCCCCAACTTAATTGAGGTGAGCTAAAAAGTGTTATTGACTAAACACGCACTATACCATACAAATCAGAATAATGTATCAAGTCACTGTAGACCCGATATACCATACAAGTGGAAATCTTAGTGAGAAGCAAATTTAGCGATTTGTCTTTAAAATATGGTGTTTTATTCTTAGCAAGAAGTAATTTTAGCGATTTTAGAATGCTCACTAAAGAAGCTATTACAAAAAGAATTAGTAGCAATTTTTTATTGGTATTCAATTTTAGCGATCTCAGCACCCTCGCTAATAATTTATTAATTTAATAAATTAAACCCACACTAAAAATTCTACTTATACGATATCCAAATTTTATTGAGTCACTAGACCTTACCATACATATCGGAATTGTAGCAGTTCATTAAGGAAGAGGTTTCTACAAAGTTGGTTGTAGTTAGATCCTGGACCCCTCCTGTGGCCCCAAGGCTGCCGCTAAAGGCATCTGGAAAAGGAGTGTTTGATGTGAATTACTTGACATAGATTTACATTATAATGGGAGTGTTTGATGTGTATTACTTGACAAATAGATTCACATTATAATGGAAGGGAGATCTTGATGTGTTTTACTTGAAGAGTGTTTTCACAAAACTCAATACTCACCATTAGCCATGTTAGAGGGGTTGTATCCAGAACAAGTGGGTAGCGGTGAATGCTGTGCTGCCTCGGTCTGCTGGGGACTGCTGGGACCGCTCCTGACCGGTTCCAGTCTCTGGGGGCTGTTCCCTCCTGACCCAGGGTTACTCCTGTTCCTTGGAGACCTCCCCTGCTGCAGAAGTTCAGGGGACCCTAAATCTTTGTCCTTTGATGAACTACAGGTGGCACTGGCTGACCGAGGCTACAAGAAAAAATTCTCATATTAAGGAAAGATTACAGACTGAGTTTTTCCAGCAGAAATGGTTTTTCATTTTCTCTGAGAAAATTTTGGTTTGAGATTTTCCTACAGACTTCGTATTCATTACCATTAAGTTACACTAGGTATGATTTGTTACGTAGTATCAATCTTTTCCAGCGGACTTGGTTTTCGTTATCTCGGAGCCACTGTAGGTACGATTCGTTACTTACTGAGCTTTTCTTGCGGACTTGGTTTTCGTTATCTCTGAGCCATTGTAGGTACTCATTACTTACTGAGCTTTTCCTGCGGACTTCATTTTCTCTGAGCCACTGTAGGTAAGATTCGTTACTTACCGAGCTTTTTCTGCGGACCTGGTTTTCGTTATCTCGGAGCCACTGTAGATACGACTCGCGGGCGACTTGTTCCTCTATCGTCTCCTGGGTGACCTCCCAGTCCGTCTCTCTCAGTTTATCCTCCAGCATCGTCTGTCAAAATTGTTTACAAGCACAGGTTTACATAATACATCTAAAAGCTAAATATATCCACCAATAAATATTTTATACTCTACATTCTGACTGCATAACTGAATACATGTACGGGTGAAATTTTAAGTATCTCTTACACAGTGACTATAAATAATTATGTTGAAGCGAGTTGAGAGTCCACACCACTTTTTATTAAATTTTAACCAGGGGTTCAAATTTTTTTTTATCATGATCAAGTCCAGGACTTAAAGAGTAAATTTTAGGCAAGTCCGAGGAAGAAATTTCAGAGTCCATACTTACCTATACATCATTAAATTTATGTTACTTATAATTTATTTTCATTTGTTGCATTGAATGAATAAAGACTATATGTATTAATATATGTTTTATTTTTCCTCCACAAACTGTCATATACTGTATAGGGGATAAATTTCACGGGTTGTAATTTTCACGGTTTTCTCTCATCGGACACGATCGCGGTTTCTTGAATTCGCGGAATTCTTATGTTATTGAAGTTACCTCCCTTGTCTATATCCGTTTAATCCATAGTTACATGTAAACGACATTCATTTCATTTCACGAACAACACATTAGATTAATATAAAAAAGTTAGACTTAATAAATAATTAATGATTAATTAAAACACGTGCAGTTATCAAAAGTCCTCGACTATAAACGTCAAATAACTTGTATTACGATGAGTGCATGTACACCCCAAGATCTTACATTGCGGCGAAAAACCACTGGACAGTAATAAATGTGTTCATGTAGGTCGAAGAAATAATATCCTTCCAAATCTTAAGTAAGTTCGATAGTTATTTGAATGATTTTTTTGAAATCAAAATGTCGATAAAACTATAATATGCATGATAATGCAGGTAATGCATACACCGTGCGTGTTAACATTAATTACGCACGGGTAATCAAAACTCATGGCCCACGTGTTTTGATTGATGAAACATGTAGCGTTTGCTATTAAAAGGCCTTTTAACAAATACAGGTTATTATCTGTTGACTTGAATTAATGTAAAGCGTGCTAATTAAAATAATTGAATGACGAGTACTACTCGTAATTACTGAAACATGTGAAATGACCATGTACTGTGGTACATGTATTTAAATCTATCGTAGTCTATTCTAAAATTTCCAAATAAAACATGGAGATTATTGAAAAATTATTCACTGTTTCTTGAATTCACGGATTTATTATCACCGTGAATATAGCGAATATTAACACCGCGAGTTATTTTCCCCCTATACAGTAGTCATACACGAGTATTTCAACACAATACCAGACTGATAGATTATTGGTACATTACAATAACTTTTACAAATACTTACTACTGAATAAACCATCTGTTACAATAAAGAGAAATTATTACTGCTGGTAAAACTGAAATTTAACAAACTCATTGCCGTTTGTCATATAGGAGGAAACATGAGGAACTGCGTAAAAGCAAGAGTCTAACTGCAACGGAAAATAAAAAGACGGGATTGAATTTTCGAAACGTTCGTAATGTTTTATGGTTATTTTAACGCCCATAAACCCACATTTTTATTTAATACATTTGAGAATTTGCTTTATTTTTAGCTTTACGATCATTTTTTTAACAAAAAAAGATAAATAAGAAACATAGCCAAGTCCCAGGATTTTGGCGAATTCTAAATGACGAGTCCGGATCCGGAATTTGTTAGTCCGGGACGTCGGGCTTGAGGAATTTTGAACCCCTGTTTAACCTTGAAGCCTCAGATCTGATATCTTAATGTGCTTTCTCGGAGACATTGAGTTTAAGATAACATAGACTGACAATATGTGTACTATGATATGTCTGTGGCCTGAAGCTTTGATTTACCTGCTCAATATGGACGTCCTCTGACTGTCTGACAGCATCTCTCATCTGACTCTTGTCTGCCAGCTGATTAACAAAACAGAATTAAAACTAAAATAGGATAAGGCGTTTTCCATAATGATCCAGTTTAGAAAAAGAGTTTAAAGGTCAAAACAAACAGAAAGTACAATTGTAAATCATCAAGCAGTACTTCATGGGCAAAATCTGGTATTCTCTGTCATGTCTACAAGAAGTTTTATTTTCTATTATCATTTTTTCTTTTTTTTAATAACACAAGTTTGTCAGTCAGGTTAAAGCAATCTTTAAGCCTGTGATTTGGAATAAGTAATTTGTTGTTGTTGGTAAAAATGTCTGTAATGTACAAACTCCTAGATTTTCAGTCCTTACCCCTGGTTGAAGGCCGGGCAGTCCAAGTCCCACACCAATGGTTGCCTTAAATGGATCCACCACTGAATTGTAATGGACATTTCCATGGTAACTGATTCTAATGGGTTCATTTTCAGTCTTATATGGACAATTGAATGTATTAATTGGATCTACAAATCAGAGAATGATCTAAATTCAAAAGGGTGCATCTGACATTTAAGTTCACCATTAGCAAACTCGGCAAAATACAGTAACTGAGGCCAAATAAAAACATGAAATCCATTATCATTGTTTGTTGGTAAGAATCAGCCAAAACTACTAAAATCTGGCTTCTTAATTACAAATTGTGTCTCCCCAAAAATTCAGATTCCAAAAATAATAGAGCATTTTTTCCTCTGAAATACAGACCTATACTATATTGGTAAACTTCTATCTGACGATTAAACATCTCGCTCATTGCCTGCATCTCTACATGGTTTCCATGGCAATTGTCCATCTTTTTACGATTGATGTACGTGGTAAAATCCTCCGTAACATACTGGGAATAGTAGTCACAGTTTTTCAGCTGAGAATAAAAATTAAAGAAAATGTAGTTTAAGACAAAGATTTCTTTATGAATTATTTTAAGTGCATAGAAATGTAAATTGATGACTCTAAAACCATAATTAAACCGACCAACATAACTCTTGTTACATAAAATACATACTCAATACAATGCTTTCTGACAATGGTTTGACCTTTATACTGTTATAACACCTAGGAATCTGTACATACCATGTAGTCCACACAATTCTTTCTGACAACTGTGTGCATTTCTTGGTCACCATATACTTGGTCAGCTGTAAATAATTCAATTGTATAATTGATTAAATTTTATTCTGCAAGGCAAAAAAAAAAAAATCCATAATTAAAATATTAATAATCTGTACACAATCCTACAATAGTTATACATCTTTCAATTTCCATTGTGTTTGTGTTTCTTCTGTGTTTCTCCTTCTGTTCTTCACATTTAATTCATGAGAAGAATTTTCCACATTAAAATATCAGTGCTTTTTAGCAGCTTTCTTTAACAGAATATTTTCACCGCGTCCATATCAATCAAAAGAAGGAAGTATTATGGCACAATCCTCATGTCCTCTTATATACTCCTAGTAACTTGTGTTCATTCAAGTATTAATATTTACTGTATAGGCGAGTTATAAAAAGACTGGCATTTTAGAAGGTCAATCCCTCTGATATCAGCTTAAAAAATACATCTGACTTATAGGCGAACCGACTTATATGCGAGTATATACGGTACATTTGCTTGTTTTTCTATTAACATGATTAAGCCAACTTTGAAATTGATTTAAATGTCATTTTCAAGTATACTCACCCATATAACATAGGGGTGAAACGGTATGCCTCCTTCACGGTTCGATACAAATCGTAAAATATGGTCTCAGTTTGGTTATTTTCGATACGATATATTTTGATAGAGGAAAACACATTCAAATGTTGTTTTATGCTTCCTCTTACTTAATTTACTCAAATAATTTACGTGCAAAATGGCTAGAAGACATCAATTTACTTGATTTGACTGTTATAAATTATTTTACAAACTATCAGTCCACAAAAATTTATGTTTTTCAACTAACTTTATGGAGGAGCATGTTTATACCTTATGCCCAACCAGACTGAATAACAATCCCAACTGAAAAACAAACCGAACCAAAAATAGAGATTTTGTACCGTGTATCGAACCGAGAAAAAATACTGCGGTGAATCGATACCTCGGTGAACCGTTTCACTCCTAACAGAACTATACACAAAGAAACTCAAACAAAAGTGACGAAACAATGAGGCTACAGAGATTTTAATAAAACAGTGATTGGGAAGGGCTTGCACCATGCGTAATATTTACATTGAAGTGCAAAATGGCTCATTAAATCAATTAATGTTGGTGCCAAGGTGAGCAATCAATTTTTAGTGATCTTTTATGGAAGTATTTTGCATATGACCATCTTCGCTAGCCAAGGGTTTCCGATCCGATACCTACTCTACAACCCTTGGCAGATTTAGTCCTATCAATCGGGAACTTTGATTGCACCGCCTATCGCCGTAATTGAGTTAAGTCCCTTGAAGCTCTGTAATATTTGTCCAATGAAAATAGCTGTAACATACGTAGATCAATATGACGTTTGAAACAATATGGCGACCTCCATGTGGAATATATCCAAACAACTTCATACAGCTGTGGGCAGTGGGCACACCTCAAAAGTGGTAGAAAATATCCTTCTTCGTGGATTTTTAGTCAAGAGTTTGACACTACTTTCTACTTGTTGCCGTATCAATTATTATCAATGAGCCATGACATTTGATTGGCTTAAATTGATGCACCTAAAATGCGGAACACGGACTAATGTGGTCCTTTCAATAATTCTTGAAAACATACATAATTAAAAGAAAAAAATTCAAATTAATTAATCCCTCGTTTTTTTGAAGCATAGATCACGTCATAACTTTCATCCCTTGTAAATATTACTTTTATTTTGCATAAAACACGAACAGACTTTAATTCAGCCGAAAATCGTCGATTAGTAAAAACCTTGCGTAGACTCGGACTTCGCAGCCAATCAAATTCGTTTGCACGAGTTCTAAAATTTTCGGCCAAATCTGCCAAGGGTTGTAGAGTAGGTATCGGATCGGAAACCCTTGGCTAGCGAAGATGGCATATGACTTTCTTGTTTCACTTTTGTTTTAATGCAGTAAAACAACAAATTTCATTGGTGGAAGCCCTTCAAAAACTGCTTTTGGTTTAATTAAGCACTTCATTCGTACGTAGGGTGGAGCTCAATCCAATTTTTGACATATTTTAACACAAAATATGGGTAAATTATATTTTATGAGGGTTCCTTTAAACTTGCTGCATTGCATATGTTAAAAATTCAATTTGGTTAATTAAAAACATGCTTTCTTTTGTATTTCATATACAGTCAATTCTCGAATTATCGCCATTCGATTCATCGCCATTTTCGCAATACCGCCATGATTTCCCAAGAACGTTTTTCCTGCTATATAAAATTCTCTTTATACCGCCAAATTCGCATACCGCCATCCGCCACCCTGTTTTCACAACAAACGTCCATTTTTAAGTGTCAATTATCTCGATATACCGCCACAGGTGCATGTGGTCAGTGAAGCGCGGCTAATTGGTTGATGCTATCCCTGTTGTTAAGCGAAGCCAGAAATGGTACATGCAATTAAATAATTAATTAAGAATTAAATAAACAATAATTTTAACATGAACTATTATATAAAAAAATTGTTTTCTATTAAATAAAAATCATTTAGTCACAACTTTGCCTTGAAAGTTGTCGTTGTTAAAGCACGCCGATAACGATATTATTTTAATGATCTCTACTTTAAACAAAACAAAAATTTGCTTTAAAAATTAATATACGGTATAAATTCTGGACTTTTCATTAACAATGATGCCATTAGCAATGAATTTATTCAAGAATTCATTTTACGTACTATCGGCAATATCTTACGACGATCGACCCAGCATGTTTTTTTTTCAATATCACACTGCAGATTTACATGCATACACATATATACTTGTCTTTATTTAATAACTGCAAATTTTGTATTTAGCTAAACTGTACATAAAAAATTATTTGAAGCATTCTCAAATTAAGGAGTATGTATAATTTTATATACATGTACATGTAATAATACGAATAGAAACGCGAATGGTATTGTTTAGAAAGGTAACTCTACTTCTTGTTTCCTAAATGATGGAAAATTCAATTCATCGCCAAATTCGTTATACCGCCATGATTTCTGAATTACAAAAGGTGGCGGTTTATCGAGAATTGACTGTAATTTGTTGTCATTTTGTTGTTTCTTAATATGGCCCCTCAGATTAAATTGATGGCCCATTTATTTTCAAAATGGCCAATTAAAAATGTTGACAGTTGGGCCATAGTCCAATTGACCTTTCTGGCCTTGCCAATCACTGATAAAAATGTGTCCACTTTATGATATGAACCATTGATTTTATCATTCAATAAGCTATTCAGTGTACAGACTACAGTGTTAACCTACCCACAGCTCTAAACAGACACGCCCCATCTTCTCCCATCTTCTTTATAATCCATCCTTTCTTCTCCTTCAGGGTCTTCTCGAACCAGGCTTCCAGCTGCAATAAAAGGAGACAAATCTAAGTAGATCAAAATATTTAAAGACAAAATAGTCAGCAGAATTATTTCTACATTTGGTTTTCAGTTTATTTCACTGTCATTAAATGAAGTTTTCTAGTATCTCCTTTATTCCCATTTAGGTGTTTGTATGTTTCATATTAATATGTAATATCGCGACTACCAATGAGTACCTCGCAGTTATTTAACTTACTACCGCTCTTTTGCGGGGTAGTCGAGAAAAGTCTAAATTTCTGGGGCACATGATATTGTTTACAGTAGTGACAATCGAATGATTCGAACAATTTAATGCCGAAATCACAATATTTTGCCAAATATTGAACTCCAAATAGTAGACTTCAAATAAGGAAAGTTTAGAATATTTTATCTGCTTAAAAATGTGACGATTTTCAATAAAAATTTAACAAGAAGAGTCCTCTTAATTAAAAATATCGTTAAAAATGTGACAACTTAGGGTTGGCTCCTCTCAAAAATATATTACACTGGTTCAGCGATTGTTTAGCAAGGTATTCCACCAGGATTTTTTACTTATCTGTCCTTATAAATGCTACAATGATCGATCTTGCATTGTATTGAATAGCACATTGCCCCCACCTAACAGACGTTCCCTACCTCCATCGCGAAAGAGTTCCACTAAGTTAAGTAATCGTGATATCAAGTATTTTCTAAGATCTAATTGTGATTCAAATCATTACGATGTATTACAAGTATCTTTTTTTAGCTTGTATTTTCCAGGAAATGATAATAAACAACATCCTTTAAAAATAATCAAAGTACTCAGAAGTACAGAAAGCCGGGCTCATTCACAGAGTAGAATAGATTTCTGACACGAATCACTTTTATATTCTGATGATTTTTTTTAAACTATCAATATCAATGATAAGACACTGACAATGAGTTTTTTGATCCTAATACAATGGTCTGATTTTGTCAGAATCAGAATTAATCTGGTACCGCAGCTGAATGTAAACAAACAGGAAAGTCTGGTTTCCTTTCCTGCTTTACCTCATATGTGTAGAGAACTACGGTAACACTGATTTTCAAAAATCCTTACGCTAATGAACTATGTTCTTTGACTTATGAAGTTTTCAAAGTCATTACTACTAATGTTTATTTTATATAGATAAAACTTCATTTTATTTGGCGTTTGTATTATCTCAAAAGCGGTTAAGAGTAAGAACTATATTTTTGCACATAACTTTAAAATGGCGACTATGGGGTCAACATCCTGCCTTGAACAGGATCACATAAGCCGGCAATTGCTCTTTGAGCAATAAGCCCGGCTAAAAATTAATCTCTCAACCATTCAAATGACATATATTTTCATAATAATTTCTCTGGAGAAGAATTTTTTAGTGGTCAACAATGCAGAGTGACAAACAGCCATCTGTAAACCTCCATAAGTTAAATTTATGCACCAAGGAATTGAAAAAAAAAGATTTTCCTCTCCCATTTTGTCAGTACATAGGTATTACCGACTTTGATATAGATAAATGACCACTGAACGGGGGTTAAACCACCCTACGTGGTCTAATGCCCTGATGAAAAATCTAAATGACAGCCAGCCCGACTCTAACCTCCTCGATGTTGTCTGGGTGCTGGGGAGGGACGTACTCGTCCCCGCTGTTATATCCGGTCTCCTCGTACTCAGCAGACGACTGGTAGTCCCGTGACGTCACCGTGGCTGAGGCGTGCATCCGATGTTTCCGTGCGTGCGTCCTATGGGGGGAGGAACGATGGCGTCGTTTATTATTCACTCCCTCATGACCTTCAAAGGCTCCCCCCGGATCATGACTGGCCAATTTCTCGTCCCTTGTCGTCGACGGAACCCAGCGGGTCGGGGAGTTTCGGGAGCGGGTCGCCTTTTCGTGTCGGGCGTCCGTGGTAGCCTGATGGTGTTGGTGTGAATGAGATGCATGTCCGCCCTGGTGTTCAGTTGATTCACACTCTGTTTTCGACGTTCCTGGTTTCTTTTTCGGTAGAATGGTCATCTTCACTGATTTGTCAACAGTCGCAGTATAAGGTAAATAAAAGGTTTTCCTGTATCAACCGGTAAGATACAGGTTGCAAACCTTTATTTTAGTGGAAAATATACAACAAACGTTCAACAAACTTCCAAGTACGAGGAAAATGGCGACTAGTCTGTGACGTCACGTTTTATTTTGGTTTTTACCGGAAACGATCAGCAATAGGGACCATATCAAAACTATATGTGAATATGGGCTGTATCAAAAGACAAATATTTTATCAAAGTTATGATATACATGGCAAATTATACTATTTTATTATCGGCCATAGCATTTGTGGTTGTGTTAGAAAGTGCATATGGGGAAATGAGACGTTACTTTTTTATTAGTTCAGTAAACTTGGTTAAATAATTCTTAAATGATAACATCTATATTTATAAATCGATTAATTTTTTTTAAGTTTGCTTTAAACTAAGTATTAATTTTTGTTAAGTTTCAATTTCATTGTCATTTCTCATAACATAATGGATAATTCATGGTTATATAAAAAGTATTTACAACAGGTAATCCCCTGGGAGTGTGTAAGATATAAAAGATTAATATAGGAGTTGCAAATTTATATAAGGAATAACTGTCTTATTTTTCGATTTCATGAAGTGATCAATCGATTGGCTTGCGTGATAATTTGCATAAACGCCAAATAAAATTATCACTCAAGCCAATCGATTGATCATCTTCATGAAATTGAAAAATCTGACAGTTTTTCCTTATATTTACATCTCTTGATTCCGCCAATCCACGTGCTCTATAAGCCCCGCGTCTGTCTCTACATTTGTCCCGCCCCGCACGTGATGAAGAAATAAGGTACATTTACTATTTGTAATTTCATCTCAGACAAAGACATTGGAAATGTAAATATTTCCGAAACAAATGCCCATTGGCATTATCATGGGACAAAGATCCAAGGCATCAGCACGTGGTTCATCTTGAGAGGCCCATGCACATCTTCATTTTAATGACAATAAATTATTTTCATTTATCATTATCATTAATTTTCTTACATCGGTAAATCAATTTTATGAGCAAATGCACTAAAATTTCTACTTATTTAACTAAACAATTTCTTTATCTTGCTTTGAAGGCAGTCTAAAATAAAATGATCACTATTTCAGCTTTGAGTATGTTGTGCTTTTCTTGCATTGGTGCTTTTAAAATTGCAAAAGTACTTTTTGAAATGCTTTTCTAATTTGTTTGCGACTGATTTGATGCTTTATACAGCCTTTCAACAAGATCTGGGAAAAAGAGAACATCCCGAAAGAGTGGTAAGAAAGGTATCCTTATTAAGCTGCCAAAGAAAGGTGACCTGAGGGAATGCAGTAATTACAGGGGGATCATGCTCCTGTCAGTGCCTGGCAAGGTCCTCAACAGAATACTTCTTGAGAGAATGAAAGAAGCAGTGGACCCAAAGCTCCGTGACCAACAGGCTGGGTTTAGAGCCAACAGATCAAGTGCTGAGCAGATAGCCAGCCTGCGCATCATTATAGAACAATCACTGGAGTGGAAGTCCCCTCTTTATGTCAACTTCATCGACTATGAGAAAGCGAAACACTTACCAAGGCATGATATGCAGGGTTGCCCATGCTGGCCAGATGTCTGATAGTTTCGAGGTCAAGACAGAAGTTCGACAAGGATGCTTACTGTCACAATTTCTTTTTCTCTTGGTCATGGATTGGATCATGAGGACTACCACATCAGGCAGGAACAATGGTATACAGTGGACGCTCCTGACCCAACTCGACGATCTTGATTTTGCAGATGACCTGGCTCTCCTTTCGCACAACCAAAGCCAGATGCAGGATAAAACAACTCGCCTTGCAACAACATCAGCAGGAACGGTCCTCAAAATCAACTTGAAGAAAACAGAATTGATGAAGATAAACACCACTGTCCAAACACCAGTCACAGTTGGTGGTGAGCCCATCAAAGAAGTCGAGTCCTTCATCTACCTGGGGAGTGTGGTGGATAGACAGGGTGGTACAGACCGCGACACCAAGTCAAGAATTGGCAAGGCAAGAACTGCATTTACCATGTTAAAGAACATCTGGGCCTCAAAGAACATCCGAACTACCACTAAACTGCGGATCCTCAACTCAAATGTAAAGTCCGTCCTATTGTATGGTGCAGAGACGTGGAGGATTACTAAAGCGACTCTGCAGAAGATACAGACATTTTATAACACCTGTCTCTGGCGCATATTCAACATCCGATGGCCTGAAAGGATCTCAAATGAAGAACTATGGAAAAGAGCAGGACATGAACCAATCGCATACAAATAAGACAGAGGAAATGGGGCTGGATTGGACACACATTAAGGAAGTCACCATCCAGCATCACACGCCAGGCCCTGACTTGGAACCCACAGGGCAAAAGAAAAAGAGGACGTCCTAGAAACACCTGGAGGCGTGACTCGGAGTCGGAGCTAAAGATGCAGGACATGGCCTGGCATGATGCAGCTAGAGCAGCTCAGAATCGTGTTCGTTGGAGGACTGTTGTTGATGGCCTATGTTCCTCACGGAACGACAGGCCCAAGTAAGTAAGATTTGATGCTTTGCATCAATTTTACTTGTAAAAGTCTTGAGGATGGACTCAATGATAATTAAATTGTATTTGCTGACAAGGTTGCTGTATCGACCATAGAACTTACGAAATGATGACTTTAAACGAGAGTGCTGATATCTTTGTTTCATCAACTTGTTTGTCAGTATTTTACCTCGCTTAAAAAATTGTTCATACGTTGAGCATGCTCTTGCTTATCCAATCCTCTGAGATATATAAACTCCGTATGCAGGTGATGAATGTATATTGCTGCATAAGTAAGCTATAGCTAGGGAAATTTACGACACAAAAGTTATCAAGTCATCACGTTTATCAATTATCATAGAGCTTGCTTGTTAGATTACCATTTAAGTCTTTTACAATTAAAATATCCAGGTATCAAACAGTGTCAGACTCTTTGGAATCTTTTATCTCAAGCTCACCAGGATATATCGTATCGACATAGAAATGGAAATTACCATTATTAATTGACAACACGACGTCGGTATATCTAAATGTCGAGTTTAAGGCCACAGCAAGTGTTTTCTTCTTTTCACACATAAGATTTTGCACAAATTCTGCTTCATATGAATACAAAAATAGGTCAGCTAATAACGGATCGCAATTGGTACCCATGGGAATGCCAATAAATCGTTGGAAGACATGGTCTCCAAAAACACCTAGAAATTTTCAATCAGAAACTCAAGCATCTTTTTGATGTCAACTTCAGTGTACTTGTGTGTGCAATCATAACGTGTTTTAACAAAATAATTTTGCAAATGACCAATGACGAGGTAAGTAAAGAATTGGCAAGGCAAGAACTGCATTTACCATGTTAAAGAAATCAAAGCCTATATAAAGCTCAACTCAAATGTAAAGAAATCATATTCAATATGGGAATTGAGTATTTAAATTAACTTCTCATTACTGAAATTTATGAAATTATGAGAGAAGGAAACCTTTTCTGAAAGAAAAAAATCTCGTAAAAAAATTTTCTTTTATAACACAATAAGGAAGTCACCATCCAGCATCACACCCTAGCCATAAAAATCCGACTTATCAGAAAAAGAGGCTTGGAGACTGGAACATGCTAAAGACTAAAGCTATATGATTGCTGCAGGGTGATTTATGAAATTTAAATCATGTTTGTGATATGATCCTTGATCTTAATGGACTTGGAGTATTACCATTTAAGTCTTTTACAATGTTTTGTCATAAAATTGTACTTTTAAGGTATAGTGGGTCTTCGCTCCATGTTTTTGTAAACCAAAAAATGTAAATTTTATTGCAAACTTTTAGGACCATCATTCAAAATAATGGTTAACTAATAACTGTAAGACTATAAATGATAATGACCAACTAATAATTGTATTTCACTATTGATGATAATGGCCAAGTGATAATTGTATCACTATGGATACTGTATACAGGGTTATTTTCGCCCTTTTGCACTTGTGTTAAATTCGCCCAGTTATGAAATTTCTGAAATTTGAGAGAAAGAAATTTGCTGTGAAAAAATCTCGTAAAAAATTTTTCTTTTATAAAAATAACGTGGGATCCGAACCCTAGCCATAAAAATCCGACTTGTCATACTGCTTGGAGAAAATTTAACCACTGTATACAATAATAATAACCAACTATATATCCTGTAATGACTATAGTGATAATAGCCAAGTGATAAAATTGTACTTTTAAGGTATAGCCGATAATGACCAAAAAATGTAAATTTTAACTTTGTCACTTCAAAATAATGGTTAACTAATAACTGTAAGACTTTAAATGATAAAATGACTAATAATTGTATGACTGTAAGATGATAATGTATTAGTGATAACTGTATGACTATACATGATAATTTTCGCCCTTTTGGCGTTAAACTAAGTTATATTTCTGTTTAAGAAATTATGCTGTGTAAAATTCGCAAAATCAAGAAGAGGGCGAAAAGGGCGAAAATAAAACGGAGGCGAAAATTTCCCTGTATACAATATTAATAGCCAACTAATAACTGTATGACTATAGATGATAATAGCCAAGTGATAACTGTATGTCTCTATAGCCGATAATGACCAACTAATAACTTTGTCACTATAGATGATATAGGCAACTAATAACTATAACACTTTAAATGATAATGGCTAACTAATAATTGTATGACTGTAGATGATAAGTGACCAAGTGATAACTGTATGTCACTATACATGATAATGACCAACTAATAACTGTATGATTATAGATGCCAACTATTAACTGTATGACTATAGCTGATAATGACCAACTTATAACTGTATGGCTATAACTGATAATGCCAACTAATACCTGTATGTCACTATGAATGATAAAGACCAACTAATAACTGTATGGCAATAGATGATATAGGCAACTCATAACTATATAACACTTTAAATGATAATGGCTAACTAATAATTGTATGACTGTAGATGATTATAGTGACCAAGTGATAACTGTATGTCACTATAGATGATAATGACCAACTTATAACTGTATGGCAATAGATGATATACGCAACTAATAATTGTATAACACTTTAAATGATAATGGCTAACTAATAATTGTATGACTGTAGATGATTATAGCTTAGTGATAACTGTATGACTATAGATGATAATGGCTAACTAATAACTGTATGATTATAGATCACGCTATAGATGACAATGACTAACTAATAACTGTATGACTATAGATGATACTGACCAAGTGATAACTGTATGTCACTATAGATGATAATGACCAACTAATGACTGTATGTCACTACAGATGATATACGCAACTAATAATTGTATAACACTTTAAATGATAAAAGCTGACTAATAATTGTATGACTGTAGATGATTATAGCTTAGTGATAACTGTATGACTATAGATGATAATGGCCAAAAAATAACTGTATGTCACTATTGATGATGATAGACAAGTAATAACTGTATGGCTATAGATATTAATGGCCATGCATCAAATAACTGTATGATTATAGATGATAATGGCCAACTTATAACTGTATGACTAGAGATGATAATGGCAAACTAATAACTGTATGTCACTACAGATGATAATAGCCAAGTAATAACTATTTGACTATAGATATTAAAGGCCAGCTAATAACTGCATGACTATAGATGATAATGGCAAACTAATAACTGTATGACTATAGATGATAATGACCAAGTGATAACTGTATAACTATAGATGATACTGACCAAGCGATAACTGTATGACTACAGATGTTAATAGCAAACTAATAACTGTATGACACAATAGATGATAATGACTAACTAATAACTGTATGATTATAGATCACACTATAGATGACAATGACTAACTAATAACTATACGATTATAGATGATAATGGCCAACTAATAACTCTATGACTATAAATGATAATGACCAAGTGATAACTGTATTTCACTATTGATGATAATTGCAATCTTATAACTGTATGCCAAACGGAATGAAAAGCTCGTCCATCAACTTCCCTCATTTATGTAACTATAGCCACCTGCAACTGGTGCAATCTTATTAGACTTAGATATAAGATACACTCGCATACTCGTTAATGTAGCGAGTATGGGAGCAGATCTAACATCTAATTTTTATTAGATTACAATTGGTGTTTATGTTTCCCAAAGGATTCGATATGCAAGAGATCCAAAATTCTCTAAATACATTTTTTTTTCTATTATACAGTCAAAGGAACATCTTGCTGTGTAGTTCATTTTGAATTTTTCTACCGTTAATTGTGTATCTTGTTCGCCATCTGAGAGGAAATGGAAGGGTAAGCGCGGACAGCCCTGGGAGTAAGACATGTCTATTCATCTTGTCTCCTAGCCCAGAAGCCGCCATTGATACAGGTCATAGCTGCTGATAAGACTTAAAAGTACAATTATGCGACCTTGGTATCTTAATTGGTCCATCCTACGTTAAATTCATTTTCCTTGCCCTTCTCTTGGCTATATAGTATTTTAGAAAGATAATGCCCGGTTCCATGTTGCCAGAGTTTGTCTAGGTTATCTCGAAATCCATTACATCAACCCAATGCCCCGGCCTCTCTTACGAGGACTGTCCAATAACATGAATAAGTAATGTCCTAAACTGTATGACATACAATACAGATACCATATGACATGAAGCTTGACTTTCTCTCTTATTATTGGATCTTTAATTAATTTATAACAGTTTATGTGACCACTGTTCATCACATAGTTTCATTGTGAGCAGCTGGAAAACAAGGGCTATTCGAGACATTACATAAGGGTAAAGAATCAGTAAACTAGAGTGAAATTAAAAGCTTCATTAAAGCTGCTGTAAAGCTTGTTAAGTCTCCCAAAGAAATATTCACTGAAATATGTAAAATTTACGGCAACCAATGTCTGTTTTATAGATAAACATGACAAATGAGAAGGCTGATTTCAATGTTAAAATTTATAATGGGCATCAAAAATGGGTACCGTCCTTGCCAAATAAAATTATAACAACTAATGTACTAATTGACAAATTTCAACAAACACCTGTAATCTTTGATGTACATGTACCAAAACAATTTTTTAAAATAAAAGTAATTGTAGTTATCAACGTTTGTTTAAAAGTCAAACAAATAGTGAAACTTGAATCTATTGCTTAAAACCCTCAAAACAAAAATTTACAATAAGATGTACCTGACAAAAACAGCAAAGGTCTGAGAAGAGCCAAGAATTTCAAGAGCACAAAGTTTTATATGCAATTTTCTTAAATATTAGTGATCTTGTTGTTCAAATTCGTATTCGGGGAGGCAGTTTAATTTCTGGAGGAGTCTAGAGAGCAATTTTTTTTTTGCAAAAAATCGAAAGGTTTATGAGAAGAGGGAACCAGAATCAGGAATCCATACATTTAATTTCTTCATGACAGCTTCCAAACCCACACGAACCGAAGAGTAAAGTAGTTTTGGGGTTACATGTAAACAGGAAATTTAATATTCGCCAGATCTTTCACCTTTAGACTTATTTCATTTTTCAAACTTGAAAAAACACCTTTCAGAAGGAAGAAACAAGTCCAGGAAATCAGAGGATCTGCCATTTTCGAGTATACTAAGAGCTTTACCCAAAATGAATTCTAAACACAATCAGAAATTGGATATAAAAAGTTACGGACATTTGTTTTAATTAAAAGGGAATATTAAGTTAAATCTTTAAGACTAAATCATAGGAATGGCGTCTTTTGCTTCTTTCTGAGCACCGAGGACATTATTTATTGAACAGCCCTCGTACGTCTGATTTGTCACAAATTGAAAGCTAGTCTGTACTGTGTAGAACGAACTGAACAATGAAGTATGAATGTGTCCAAATTGACCAATTCACTTTGTTACAAGATTTTCAGATTTTATGGCTTAGTGGGTCTTTGAAATAGTTTTTCTTTATGATGCCACTCTTTTTGTTTTTCTTTTTTTTTTGCCATTTCTTGATTACTTTTTTAGGAAAAGAGCTTGGTCCTTCGTTTTTACAATTTAGAATTCCCCTTACATGTACTATTTAATACGTTATATCAAATGTTCTGAAAATTGTCAGACTGGCTCTTTATAACATAATGTTTGAAATGTGTTTGTTCTAGAAAATAAAATGTGAAAAGTGAATTTCAAACAGACAGACATAGACGAATAACGGTGATCAGAAACGCTCACTGGAGCAAAGGTTGGTAAAAGAAGTTTAATGTTTATTTGAAAAGCAAAATGAAAATGACATATGTATACAGGAATAGGATATTATATAAGAATCATGATTTTCAAAAATAATATTCATTTTAATATTGACTCGCAATTATGTTCAGAATAAGTAACCCTAGATATTTCATAAATTTGTGTTAGTGCAGAGTGTCAATTGATAAAAAACACTTTATCTATTAAACCTGTTTTACTTTCACGTGATGAGAGATACATAATTCATAAGACCAAAACAAAATAATAAAAATGTGTTGCCATGAAATATTTGGTTAAACAGACAATATATACATGTAAGCACCATGATCTTTACAAAATAATATCTGTAGTCAGTTTTAATTAGTCAGAATTAATCAGAATAAAACATTAGTACTTATGTATAGATATAATTAACATATTTGCATGGATCTGTGGATGGAAAGGAAACTTGATTTACAAAAACAAAATATTAAGCAATGTGAAGAGGTACTTATATACAAAATTGTCAATTTCCTAATGTACATCGATCAATTTCAATAAAATCAATACCTTGACATGATAAATAATTATTGTTCCTTTTACGGTAAGTTAAGTAAGTAAGTAAGTAAATAAGTAAAAGATTTCTCCTTCAGATGACCTTCACCTGATACTGAGTGGTTAGATCTGTGGCGTTTGTAAATCCATGATCATCACCAACACTATATTATCCTGTCTGCAGATAATGTCTGCTTATTAATAATACCAGAACATCGATGATCAAAACTCAATGATTAGTAATGTACCAATCAATATGCCTATAATTTGTCCTGCCTTCAGTCCTTCAGAGGCACTGCGTTCTGGAAACAAAAAAAAAATCACCAATGACAACATCAGCAAAATGTCTTTGCTTTGCATTTTTCAAGAGGTTTTTACCTTGGAATTTTGCACATGATCGCATGCATGTTAATATATTGCCAGGTATTTGATAGCTTATATATATATATATATATATATATATATATATATATATATATATATATATATATATATATATATATATATATATATATATGAAGAAACAATTGCTTCGACTGAAAATTGAAAAATGATTCCTGACCAATTATTTTCAGTCTATATTAATTTAGATGGTTTTTTTATCCCATACGTGTGGATGATACAGACCGTTGGATAATCCTATGCTTTATCCACGGGAAGATGCTTTATCAATAGCACTTTCGGTTGTGATACAATCCCTCGCTTCGAGATTTTATTTTATTGAAACTTTTTTTGTAAAACTTCTTGCCTGTATTAAATGAATGAAAATTAAAAGCAGAAAAAAAGACTTAATGTATGTCAAAGAAGTATCTTATTTTATCAAGGTACCTGTATTGGCTACTTGAAGACGATTATTACACTCCCTTCCTTTAGACCGTTTTCGGAGAAAGTAAAGCCTAGCAGTTAAGTTTTTGTTACAAGATTCCTTTAACCTCTTTAACAATGATTTCTTACATTATATTATGTATGCCTACCTGGTAATGTAGGTGTAACTTACCATGGATAAACAATGAATCTACAAGTAGCCTTGCCTACAAGAACAACGAAGAATTGCCATTCTCAGAAGCACACCCAAGCAATACGAATACGATAGCAAAAATTCTAAATTTTGAACACGATCTACTTTCTTTCGAGGCATGTAAACATCAACGGTGCTACTTCATCAGATTATACGTCATCAATTTGAATTAGCAATCATTCATGTAGTTTTGCACAGGTAGTCTCAAAATTTTGATAAAACGAAAGTCGCGAATATGTACACCATTTTAACTCGTTGGATAAAGCCAATATCAAATCACACAATATAGATATTCTCTATTTATCTCATACGTGTGAATGATACTACCCGTGGGATAAACCTATGCTTTATCCACGGGTATATGCTCATCAATAGCACTTCCGGTTTTGACACGATCCCTCGCTTCAAGATTTTATTTTATTGAAACTTTAATTTGTAAAAATTCTTGCCCTTATAAAATGAATGATAAAGAGCAATAATGTCGTTAAAAGCAAGAAAAACTCGTATTTTTTCAAAGAAGTGTCTTATTTTATCTGACTATCAAGGTACATGTACCTGTATTGGCTGCTTGATTCCTTTTACAGTTTAACAACGCTTTCGTTAATTATATTACGTATGCCTGTAGTATGCCTACCTAGTAATATAGGCGTAATTTACCATGGATCAACAATGAATCTAGCCTTGCCTAGCACGCTTTATACTGCCACCATACAAAGAGTTAATTTTTCACGCTTGATGTAAAAATCCAGAAATTGTCACATAATGTTTTCAAAGACGCAGATACCAAAAATAATTAAGCATTGAATTCATATTTTTGGATGTCTTCAGTCCTATAACCCACCTGGCCGTGCCGACAAATTGAATACCGCGCGTTATATTTACATTCTCTAATTTTTGTTCTTCATAATTGCTTATTTCATTAACCTTTAATGTGAATTTAGCGCCTTTCAAAACTGCCGTGGTTAATAGATGTAAGAGCCGTTTGTGACGTCAAATGACGTTAAATGACGTTGCAAAGTTAACTTACCCAAACAAACATTGCGAGGAAAAAAGTGACAAATTAATTCTTAACGCACGTTACGTTAATTTTTACGTTAATTTTTCAGGGTTATAGTTTTTCATTAAATTGAAGTAAAATATTTTACATTTTAGTGTTCCTGGAGTATTGAAATTGCATATAGTTCCTACTATGTATTCTAACGCACGGTGACAAGGTTTCGCATGTGTTATAGTAATTTGAACGTCGTGGATTTCTAATGAATTTCATAAGGAAAATCACACTGAATGTAAATATTACATTTTGAACACGATATACTTTCTTTCGAGGCATGTCAACACCAACAGTGCTACATCATCAAGATATATGACATCAATTTGAATTAGAAATCATTCATATAGTTTCACAGGGGAAGTCTCTAAGTTATGTTAAAACGAAAGTTGTATGAGATAAATAGAACATCTATAATTGTGTGATTCTTACCTAATTTTTTTTTCTGTCTGATAGGTAGGCTGTTTTACTATGTTTACTTGGTGATTGTACTGGCTGATCTGTAGACGTGATGGCTGTGTTAGAAGAGAACTTGAAAGTAGATGGCTCTGGTGTCAACTTTGTGACGTCATAAGACGATTTACCCGACAAACTGCGTTGTGATTGAGTTGTATATAGTGGAGATGTCGAGGCAGTAGAGAATTTTGCCATGGATACAGTTGTTTCAAACTCTGAAATTTTAACATATACTCATACACATTATAAATAAACAGGTGGTATCCGTTGCACATAACACCATCAACATGTAACTTATCCAGGCCTTTCTTCCATAATGCTGATATTTATTCACTACGATGTTTTACAAAGTACCTACATGTACTTTATATTATTTAAACTGAAATGATTAACCAATTACAACAAAATTACAATTTACCGCAGGTGGAATACTTATACCCAGTCAGTTGTAAATCAATACAAGGTCGACGTACTACGTAACTAACACAACATGGCGTCATAATATATAAGCACAGTACACACCATGCATAACCCCACAAATGGGGGCACGAAATGGTAACATCCGGGGGTGCGGAATTCGAAGCGGAATTTGCAATGTTCGTTGACCTGATTGGCTTTCCTATAGTGATTGAGATGAAAATACTAGTAATCCTAAATTAACTTACGGCGGAACATAGTGATGTCCCAGCTTACTGTTACTCGTTTCCCAGCTCGGGACTCGTCCTAAAAATACATGAACACTTCTGCAATATCTGGCAAGAGCATGTGGGAACGCAAATTTGACCGTTTCTTCGTGAAAATTGGTGCCTATATATCACTCAGTTTCATTTAACTTATGTGAGGGAATTCTAAATATGATTTTGCTGCAGACACTCTAATAATTCAGAGAATTCCACCTCAAATAAAGGAGACAGACTTCAATTTAAGTGTGTGGCACTCGGAGGTAGAGATTTTAGTGGAGGCTGGGGGAAGGAATACTTTTTAGTCATATATATCAATCTTGAATTTAGGATTATTTTCATCTCAATCACATTGCAAAATAATAATAATAAATAATAATAATACTTTATTTAAAGAAGGTAACCTGATTAGTGCAAGCACTATTCTACCCCAGGGCCTTCTGACAATCAACAATATAAGATACATAGTTATACATATACAGACATATTATAAATATAAACATAAATATACAAATACAAATAAACATGAATCACAAATTATTCTGACATTGTTTTACATAAAGTTTTACTTGTCTCTTGAAAGCATCGAGAGTTGGTGACATTTTTATGTGCACTGGTAAAGCATTCCATAAAATGGCACCAGAGTACTGGAAGGAATTTTCAAAAAGTTTACATTTATGAATTGGTACACACAAATCAACATTTGATTCAGATCGAAGAGTATATTGGTTATTAATTTGAAATTTAAACATTTCATGTAAATAAGTAGGACAATAATTAAAGAGGGATTTATATAACAATACATATTTATTTACAGTAAGCTGTTCATAAACAGTAAGCCAATCAAGTTCATCAAAAAGGGGTCTTGAGGGTGCATCAGGGGGAGCATCTAAAATATACCTTGCAGCACGTTTTTTGAAGTTTATGAACTCTGTCAAGATTTGATCTGGACGTATTTCCCCAAATTGTTAGGCAGTAATCAATGGTAGGCATAATGTATGCATTATAAAACAACTTGCGTGTTTGAAGAGGAAGATACTTTTTAATTCTACGGAGTGCTGAAATTTTACGTGACAGAGTTTTACACACATGGTCGATATGTACATTGTATTGTAAAGAATTATCTAAATATACCCCAAGAATTTTTTCATATGTTACACTGTCTAATTTCTGGTTCGAAAAGAATAAAGGAAAATCATGGTCTAAGAATTTTGATCTCTTCTGATGTGTCCCTATTAACATGCATTTAGTTTTTGAGGCATTAAGTATCATTTGATTTTGAGTGCACCATTTTTCTATACAAGCAATATCCATTGATAATGAATTTAAAATAGATTGGGAATCTTTGCCTGAAACGTGTAAAGTGGCATCATTGGCAAACAAATCTATGTTTGAATTTTTGATATAAAGTGGAAGATCATTAATGTACAGTAAAAACAAAAGAGGTCCTAGTATAGACCCCTGTGGAACTCCCGCTGTGACTTGCTGATAAGATGATTCTTTGTTAGACAGATGGACACTTTGAAGTCTATCACTTAAATACGATCTAAACCAAAGTAAAGTTATTTCATTAAAATTATAGCACTGTAGCTTTTTAAGAAGAATTTCATGATTTACTAAGTCAAATGCCTTACTGAAATCGAGAAAGACAGTACCAACGAGTTTGCCTTGGTCCATTTCATATAACCATTTATCTGTAATTTTTGTAAGGGCTGTTTGACATGAGTGCAATTCTCTGAAACCTGATTGAGATTCTATTAAAAGATCAAAGTCTGAAAATAATAATCGTACATATTTTGCCACATGTTTTTCTATAATTTTTGATAATGTCGGTAAAATAGAAATGGGTCTGTAGTTATTTGGATCTAGCTTGTTTCCCTTTTTAAAAATAGGTGTAACTTTGGCAAGTTTAAAACTTTTCGGGAAAATACCTGATGTAATACTAGTATTTATTATATTGGTTACAGGTTTATGTATTATTTGTGCAGTAAGTTTTAATAAACGTGGACCGATTGTATCTACACCTGATGATTTATTAACATCAAGCTTATTTAGTAAGGAAAGCACTTCATCGGGGCTAATAAGCGGGATACAAAACATTTCTGTTCCCAATTTAGACTGTACAAAATTTAAAAGGCCATTGAAATCACACTCTTCTTTATTTACTCCTTCAAGGAGTTTAGCAGAGACATTTGAGAAATGAGAATTAAATATCTCTGTAATTTCTTGTGTATCCTCGGTTACATTATTATTTTGTTCAAGTGCCGTCGGATTATAATTTTTGGGGGTAGAAGCTAATTTGTTTAATGCATCCCACATCTGGCGTGGATTTTTGTTTTGCTCTACAGTTGATTTATAATAATTAATTTTTGCATTTTCAATTAGTGACGTTACTTTATTTCGCCATAGTTTGTAGTTTTCAAAGTCCTTAATTTTATGAAAATTATTGCGCTTGTGCTGTGCTTCAAGAATTTCTTGGGTTAACCATTTTGGTCTTGCATCATACTTCACTCTTTTAGATTTTATTTTTTCATGTTTGTCTAGTACAGCATTAAAAAGTGAATAAAATTTATTTAATGCATCATTAGGATTAGAGAGTGAATCTAAAGATTGAAAATTAACTTTTTCCAAGTCTGAGAGAAAATTTATTTCATTAAACTTTTTGAAGTCTCTGTATGTTATCTCTGTGTGTTTATGCTTCTTTACATAATCATGTAATTTTCTTGTAAAACAAATCGGATAGTGGTCAGAAATTGCAATTGGCGGTACTACAGATTCACATATGTTCTCAGGTAGGTTAGTATATACATGATCAATTAGGGTTGAGGAGACATTTGTTATTCTCGTGGGTACATTAATTATCTGCGAAAAATCATATTCTTCAAAAGCAGAGGTCCAGTATCTTGGGGGGTCTTTGATCAGGTCAATATTAAAATCACCTGTTAAAATAATTTCAGCATCGTCACAGCGGGATGCACAATTTATCTCCCGTGTTAGACTTTCTACCCAGCAGGTGGTGGCAGATGGGGGCCTATATGCGGTACAATAAAAAATTGGTTTTGAATTTGGGATGTTAATTTCAAGCCATATTGTTTCTATGCCACCTATTTCAAAATCATTGCGACGTTTGTAATGCAAATTATTTGAGATATATACAATTATTCCTCCTCCTGATTTCCCTAATCTATCTCTTCTCTCAAAGTTAAATCCATCGATATCTAATTCACAATTGTCTGTCTGTTCATTTAAAAAAGTTTCACAGATACCAAATACATCAATAGAATGATAACCTGATAAAAGAAGCTTAAGCTGGTCAAATTTAGGCAAGATGTGACATATATTAAGATTCCCAAATCTAAGACCTTTTTTGTTGAGCCCAAAATTAAATGAATATGGATTTGAGTTTTTCTTCTGTGGTTCCTCATTGATTTCAGGATTTAGTGAGTTAGAATTTCTCTTTGGTGAACTGGCAGTTTGTGATGTACATTTATGAATTTTCCGAGAAGATACATTTTTTAAAGAACAATTTACATCATTTTCATCATTAGAACGTGTAAAGGATTTAAAATCTTTATCTTGATTTGATCTAAGTAATATATAAGTATTGTGTGAAGTACAGAGATATGAGCATTTGCATGATATTTCACCACATTCACCACAAAGATTATCTAAAACACTAAAGGGGTTTGATTTCAAGAGGAATGGTTTTTCGGCAATTTCCTCTATGCCGAATTCCTAATAGGAACAGTGTTTCGCCTTATGTCCCAAAGAGTTGCAATTCCAGCAAACAATTTTACATCCATGCCTACAATTCCGTGAGGAATGACCATTTTCACCACAATAATAACAAATTTTCACATTACCAGTCACATTTTGTGTATCATTCTGATGGCGGGCTTTGATGACCGGAATGTGCGCATCATAGGATTTCAGTAGTGTAGATGTTCCCTTGTCGGATAAATGAATCCCATCTTTCCAGAACATACTTGATGACTTGAACTTATCTTGTAGAGAGATCATGTTGACACTATATTCCTCACATACAAATCTTATGATTTCATTCGTCTGAGTAACATCAGCATCTCGTCGTGGTGGTATTTCCGATATGAATATTTCAGTAATTGGGGACCTCCTCTGGATTTCGAGCACAATTTCAGTGAGATGACACTCGCTGGTCTCCAATTCCCTGTCGTTGGCAGCATCATTACCCCCGGCAAGTAGGATTATTGACCGAAAGGACGATAGGTCGGTTTCCTGGAGAATTCTCCTGATGTTTGACAGCCGAGCCCCTCTGTTTGTTCGGACAGCAACATGCCTCAATAATCCACGGGTTCTTATTCGTTGGAGGATAGAATCACCAATTATCAATACTGACTTTTCAGATGGAACGTCTGACTCCAGTTGCTGGTTCTTGCTGGGTTTGTTGTGAATTTTTGGGCTTTTCTGATCAGTTTCTGGGGATGTTGAAGAATCTGTTGTCTCCACTCTAGAACACTGTGTGTGTCTGGTTACACCTTGTGATTTGGAATCCTTTAGGTCCCTTGTGTCAATCGCCTTAGTTTTTGTAACTGGTTCCCTTGTTTGGGTAGTTGCGTCCACAGAATTTGTATTTTTAACCTGTAGAGATTGTAGCTCCAGTTTAAGTCTAGCAACTTCTTCGGAGAGATCTGACACAGTCTGTGTTAGTTTTTGAATAACGTTAAAACTATTGCAGTTAAGACATGGCCGAGCTTCCGTTTCTTGCGATTTGCAATGTTTAGGTGTAGACATATTTTGTGGCTCAGGCATTCCTATTCCTTCGATTTTACTGACTTCAGTTATTGGTAGATGATTAATTTGATTTAGGAAATCTCTTAGCCAACTGAGTCTTTCACTGCCTTGAATGTGGATTGTTTGAGTAGATTTATACAGCGTAGCTGTAACATTACCATTACATGATTTGTAAATGTTTCCATTTTTAAATCCAGTTTTGGCAAAAAGTAGATCATTGTTAAGAATGGTCACAATGTCGTCGAATTTCTCTTCCTCATAGTTCAGTGTAACACTCTGTTTGTTGAATCTTACTTGTAAGAAATCTGGCACATGAACATCAAGGAATGGATCTTCATCATTAGGTAAAGAATTTGAATCTCCTTGTGAAAATGAAAGTCCAAAGGTATCCAGAATAGATTTAAATAAACTTGTATTTTCGTTCAAATTGATTGACTCCATTATTAATCATATTCAGAAGCACAGGTAATTACTGATAAGGAGGAGCATTGTAAAACACGTCTGGTCACTTCGAGGTCTTATCTGATTCTCGCTTCGAATTCCGCACCCCAGGATGGCACCATTCCGCGCCCCCATATGTGGAATTATGCATGGTGGTATAAGAGTGATGAATCATATGTAGCTGAGAAAAACATATACAAACCACAGATAATACGTAAATGTTTCATCGGTGGGGTAAATTCATTACATGGTTTTTTAGTGACCGGGTATGGAATGACACCTGGTCAAGTAAATTTCATACCTGACGAGGCGGAGCCGAGTCAGGTATGAAAATTACTAACCAGGTTTTATTAGTAGCATAGTCTTTTAGTGACATGGTACATCCCGTACCCTGTCACTAAAAGGATATGTAACGAATTAACCCCATTGATGAACAATTACGTATTACGGTATCTGTGATTTATTAATGTTTTTCTCTGCTACATGCTTCATCACGCTTATAATGTGCATATAATGGCGTCATGTTGTGTTATATAGTTACGTTATACATCGACCGGATATTGATTTTTATTTACATTCCATATGTTTTTGAAGCAATGAATCATTATTATTTGAAACATATAGTCTCATAACTGCAACGGTGTGTTCAAACAAATTGAGTTACTCGCGTTAGCGCGTTGACCTCAAACTAAAACGCATGCTATATCTTCTTGGCACCCTGTCCGTGTTATGGAGTTTTGAATGCAATGAATTTCCATTCACTTTAAATGCAATAAACATATGTAATGTAAATATTAGCATACAAAGTGAATGAAAATCTATTGCATTCAAAAGACCATTACACAGACAGGGTGCCAAAAGGTTGAAGCATACATTTTAGTTTGACGTCACAATCGTTGAACGCCGAGGAACTGCAACGTCATTAGCGAAAACTGTAGCTTACACGAAGGATAATACTTAGTTTTTAAAATATAAATCAAATCAAATTATTTTGCAATCACGGTAGAGAGTTAAACAAGAGGCCCAGGGGCCACATCGCTCACCTGAGCAATTGGCTAGGAAAAAGTACATATGAGATCAAAACTGAAAGTTAACTGAGGGGGGGGGGCTTGAATTTTAACCCCCCAGGGGTCATGATTTGAACAAACTAGAATCTACACTACCTGAGGATGATTCCCTGTAAATATCACTAAGCCTGGCTTTGAAGTACTTGAAAAGAAGATTTTAAAAGGTTTCCCTATATATTCCTATGTAAAACTTTGATTGGCCATTAGGCCCCACCTTACCCCCGTGGGTCCTGATTTGAAAAAAAAACTTGAATCTACACAACATGAGGATGATTCCACAGGAGTTTCATCTTTCATGTCTCAATGAGAAGATTTTTCCTATATATTCCTATGTAAAACTTTGATCTGCCATTGTGGCCCCACCCTAACCCCGGGGCTCATGATTTGAACAGACTTGAATCTACACTACCTGAGGATGATTCCACATGAGTTTCATCTTTTCCTGGTCCAGTGGTTCTTGAGAAGAAGATTTTTAAAGATTTTTCCTATATATTCCTATGTTAAACTTTGATCGGCCATTTTGGCCCCACCCTACCCCTGGGGGTCATTATTTTAACAAACTTGAATCTACACTACCTGAAGATGATTCCACATGAGTTTCATCTTTCCTGGCCCAGTGGTTCTTGAGAAGAAGATTTTTAAAGATTTTTCCTATATATTCCTATGTAAAACTTTGATCGGCCATTTTGGCCCCGCCCTACCCCCGGGGGTCATGATTTGAACAAACTGGAATCTACACTACCTGAGGATGATTCCACATGAGTTTCATCTTTCCTGGCCCAGTGGTTCTTGAGAAGAAGATTTTTAAAGATTTTTCCTATATATTCCTATGTAAAACTTTGATCGGCCATTTTGGCCCCACCCTAACCCCGGGGGTCATGATTTGAACAAATTTGAATCTACACTACCTGAGAATGATTCCACATGAGTTTCATCTTTCCTGGCCTAGTGGTTCTTGAGAAGAAGATTTTTAAAGAGTTTTCCTATATATTCCTATGTAAAACTTTGATCGGCCATTTTGGCCCCACCCTACCCCCGGGGCTCATGATTTGAACAAACTTGAATCTACACTACCTGAGGATGATTCCACATGAGTTTCATCTTTCCTGGCCCAGTGGTTCTTGAGAAGAAGATTTCTTAAAAATGTCATTAATTTTTTTCTAATTCATAATTATCTCCCTTTGGAAAAGGGTGTGGCCCTTCATTTGAACAAACCTGAATCCCCTTTACCCAAGGATACTTTGTAGCAAGTTTGGTTGAAATTGGCCCCGTGGTTTTTGAGAAGACGATGAAAATGTGAAAAGTGTACAGCGACAACCACAACCACGACGACAACGACAACGACAGACGACGGACAAATTTTGATCAGAAAAGCTCACTTGAGCCTTTGGCTCAGGTGAGCTAAAAATGTAACACGCGTTACTCAATTTGTTTCCACACACTGTTACAATTATGAGACTACATCTTTAAAAAATAATGATTCATTGCTTGAACAGCTGATTGGGTATAAGTAATCCACCTCCTTCATGTGTCAGACTTCAACCAATCGTAAGCCAGAATTTCACGTAAAAATCAACAGACGTGGGAGTAATATTAGTTACATAGTTTCTACTGACAAATACGGGATAATACTGGGTCATACTGTTGACGTAAATAAGGACGGATTCCAATTTCTCGAACGTAGAAAACTACATTATTTTTCTGAATCTAAACCCCCCCCCCTTTTTTTTTTACAGAATCGTGTATTCTAATAAAAATAAACTGAACTTTCAATGTTCTGTAAAGATTTAATTTTTCAAAACTTTACACTGACAACGAATTTGTCGCCTATGTTTATTACTGTTTTTACTCTATTGCTATGTCAGCTAATATTACTTCGTACTTACCTTCAGGACCATAACAAGCATACCCCCTGTAATAATTATCACAGTTGATATCGTTGAACTTTCCTGTATCTAACATCTCTACACATAATTCAGATTTAGATTCATGTGCACCAGATGGTTCCCCATTGTTCCAGTTGTCAAAGAAATTCTCATGGTCATCGTCCCACCAAAACGCTACAAAAGAGAGAAACAAGTTCATATCTCCACATGGAAGATTCATATTCCACAGAATTTCAAAAAGAAATGAGGTTTTCTTCCAACAGGATTTCTATAAAAGGAAGAAATGAATTCATCTTCCAATACAAACGCTACAAGTAAAAATGAGATCATCTTCTTACAAATCTACGAAAAAGAAACAAGATCATCTTCCCAATAAACTCTACATGCTCATATTTGCAATATAATGAAAATATGTTACATTTAAACTTTCATTGTGCTCTACGTGCTGTCCTAAACAGTTTTTACTAACAATCAGCATGTTTAGTGTGCGGTTCTAAAGAACCATACTTGATGAGTATATTTAAGTCTTACTTTGATGCCAGGGTGCAACACTTAATTAGACAGTGTGTGGTAAGCTTACAATTTTATTTATACTATTCTATACAATACCGGTATATGCCCTCGTGATGAATAAACGCTGACTTTAAACTACTAGTAAATCTTATCTTTCCCTTAATCAGTTCATCAAAATCGCAGTAATATTGTTCATTTGACCCACCTGTAGAAAGAATAGCTAGCATTGTGAAATCGTATTCCCCATAATCGTCAAGATCGTCCCCTGCTCCGGGTTTGCTCTTATATAATCCTATCCACAAGCGGGTTTTCTTATTGCCACCTTTAAATTTCGAAAGCTGACGAACATAATCCACCTCCTGTATATTTCTAAATGTCACAAGAGTCATGTTTCGAGATATACACGCGGCCTTGGCTTCGGGTCGTGTTTTTCTTCCTTTGGGATCCACAAAGAAACAGTTTCTCTGAAATTTGGAACTGTCGGTGGGACATTTCCCCGGACGAGGGGTAGTAGGGGGGTCCACTGTAAAAGAAATGTTTCTTCCTAATGCTGAATACGAATACAAAGTGAGACAAGTAGACAGAATGTACATTTTGATCTGCTAAGCACAGTAAAGCATAGAATGCCTGCATGGCTTCTATTTTCTTTGGTACAGTGGAATTTTTCATGGTCAGTACAAGGTAAATCAGCTCAATTAATGTTTTATAAACACAGTCAGGAGAAAAGGACTGGTAATTTGGAGCACTTCTCCAAACATTACATTGGTTTAATTGTTACATAACCCAGAGGTCTAGTGTGTTTTGGTGACACTCTAGCTATTTAAAAGGTAGCAATTATCAGTTTACAGTGTACATTTATTAGTGTATCTCATATGCGATTTAAAAAAAAAATCTTTTAAAACTATTTATATAATTCTTTGAAATCAATTCTTATCTGAAATAAGTATGTAAACTTAAATGTAAGGTATGTGTACTTTCAACAGCTAGAATAAAAAGTGTATTTACAATTGTAAATAGATACATAAATGTTATCTAAATAGGTTAGCTCTATAAAATTTTTATTCAATAGTATCATTTGCAACAAAAAAAAAAAAAAAAAAAAAAAAAAAAAAAAAAAAAAATAGAAATAAATAAATAAATAAAATAAATTACCTGAACAACAATTTCCATCATCCATGTCCATTTAAATTTCTTAAAATAGGTACATATCTTACAAAATAATGCTGTGTAATGCTATGTAATGCCAGCATTACACTGGATTTTATGAAGTAATGCATTACATTACCATTACATGTAATGCAAATTTTTGGGCATTACACATTACTAGCATTACTTTGAGTTCAGGTAATGCATTGCAATGCATTACCATTACAATTAGCATTACCCCAAGCCTGGTAATATAAAGACATTTTTTTTTTAATTTTTATCATTTTCGATACTGGTTTCAGTCATTTAGCCATGTGAAAAAATATCAAATGACATTGAAGTATCCATAAACGAAAACCCGTTAATTCATAAATAAGTTGCTGTCCTTTAAAAAAAGGACTGCAATACGTGGACCATATGCATGTTCTTTCTAACTGAAATTCAATTAAGAAAATTTTTAGTTTAGGTGAAGGGAATATTCATGTAGGTTTGTTCACTTTTTCTACAATGATCTGCCAACTCATAACTGATTGTAGTCTCAAAGCAAAATTGTGAAATTTTATCTCCGATTAGCGACCTTTAGTTATGTCAGTTTTAAAAATCGGGTTATTCTGATACGTGTAACTCATACTGGCTGGGACTTGACATCTGTTCTGGATTTATACGGAAGAAATTTATCATGGGAAAAATAGAGATACGATGGTTCACGAGTAGCACAGTTCTGTAATACGCTTTTGTCGGATCCCACCCCCCCCCCCCTCCACACACACACACAAACACATTAAAATCTATATACTATAACTTCTTAAAATGCTCGTACCATAGAATCAATGTTTAGTTTGTATGTAAACGTATATGTAAAAGAGAGAAAATCTGATCTGCCAATAAATATGTAAAAGCCGAATTCAGATTTAAAAGCGCAATTTGCCAATGAATGGCATATTTTAATTCGAATAGGGCGAATTATTCTACGGGCAAGTTACCTAAGGTGCGAACTCTCTAGCATTATTGCGCATGCGTAGCCTGTCTTTTGCCCAGGGCATCCGGTTTAACCTCGCTTATATATTTACTGCGTGGACCTCAGGGTCCACGCATTAACATGATTAATAGACTTTTGCCTTTTTAAAATGTCAAGAATGCTTAAAATGAATACAAATTAAACAATCTTTTCATAACGTCAGCGATTTTTATTTTTGATCTTAGTGCAATTTGATATAACTATTAAAAACACTAGATAAAAAAAATTTTGTGCACAGAGTAAAAAAAAAAATTAGAATTTTTTAAAAAGAATATTTCTAAAACATGGAATACTTGTATATGGAGTTAGCAAACGGTATTCAAGCTCTCAGTTTATTTAACCAATACAAATCAAGAGCAGAGCAAACACGGACCTCTAAAACATCAGAGATGGGATCAGGTGCCATGGAGGAGTGAGCATACCCTGCCGACCTATCACATCCACTGTGTGTTTCTTGCCATGATCGGGAAATAATGGGAAATCAGTGGAAAATTCAGTGTATAAACAATGACGTAACAATTAGTATAATAAACGTCAGTCAGCGTTTGACTTAATAATATATTGTAGTTTTGCTGACAATGTCATTGTACTGACCAAATAACTTATGAAATGTTGACTTTAAATGGAACTGTTAATATTCTTTTTACATCAACGTTTTTGTCTTTAAGAAATTGTTCATATGAAGAGCGTACTTTTGCGTATCGAATCAATTGAAAAATTTAAACCCCGCATGTAGGTGATGAAGGTATATTGCTCTATATGCAAGGGTAGTTGCTGATTGAGAAAATAAAGTCATCTACATGTAGTTTATCATAAATCGTTGTCGAGATCATCCAACCAAGAAACAAAAGAAATAAATGTGTCAGAATCTATTGTATCTTTAGTTTCAATTTCACTGTGATATATACTGTCGACATTTCAAACTAATATCAATAGAGAAATTTGGTTCTATATTTATAATACACGGAGACCAGTATTCGGACGATTCTGAATTAAAAAAGAGCCCTTGTCGCAGTAGGATCTAACACGAAAAATATCCCCCACTGCTTTATGGACCTACAATGCCGAGTTTAGGACCCAGTTTCCAGCCCTCCCAACTTTGATGATCCATTTTGGTCAAACCCTACCCCTGAGGATCATGATTCGGACTCTGAACTTACACCGTGTAAAAAAGTTTCATATAAGGTTCTTGAAAAGAACATACCAAAAAATATTTACAATTTCTTAGTTATCTCTCCTTAAAAGAGGGCGTGGTACTTCATTCGAACAAACTTGAATTTCCTTTACACAAGTACACTTTTTGGCAAGTTTGGTTGAAATTAGCCCGGTGGTTCTAGAAGAAGTCGAAAATATGATTTGCTTACAGGCGGACGGACAGGTAGACAGACAGAGAGACGGATAAAATATGATCAGTAAAGAACACTTCAGCTTTCAGCTCAGCTAAAACCAAATAACAATATTCTGTTGCCACTAAAAGATTGTATTATATACCTGTTGTGTATTTACAAATGGCAGGGTACTTAAGATCACACTGTGTGTCCTTCCACTCCGTATTTAGTAACACCGTACAATTCTCACCCGGATTTAGACTAGGTTCATTGGCTGCCCATTTGGAGTATGTGTATGGCCAGCCGTCTAACCAAAAATGAACATCATCCTGAAAATCATTTCGCAAGTGAGTGAAGGCTAGGTTTAGGCGTTTATATGCAAAAAAAAAGCCTATGAGAATGCATAATTTGTGTTAATTTTACGCAGAGAACCTTCACACTTATTTTCTTTTATCTCATACTTGTGGGGGATACTACTGAGATAAACTTACATGTATGCTTTATCCACGGGTAGATGCTTTTTGCAATAGCACTTCAGGCCTTGACACCATCCCTTCATTCAAGATTTTATTTTATTGAAAATTTTATTTGTGAAAATTATTGCCCTTATAAAATGAATGATAAAGAGCAATAATATCGTTAAACGCAAGAAAAAGACTGGTATATGAAAGTCAAAGAAGTGCCTTATTTTATCAACTGAAGGAACCTGTATTGGCTACTTGAAGTCGGATGTTACCCGCCTCCTTCATTTAAATTGTTATCGAAGAGAGTAGAGCCTAGCAGTTTAGTTATTGTTATAAGATTTCTTTAGCACCTTCAATAATGCTTTCTGACTTACTATGGATCAACAATGAATCTAAAAGTAGGCCTAACCTTGCACGTTTTGTACTGCCACCGTACAAAGAGTTAATTTTCACGATCCCATGGTCCTTACAACTTTCAGTCAGAAGTTCATTCCATGTAAAGCTCCAGCAATTGTCACATAATGTTTTCAAAGACGCAGATAGCAAAAATTCTAAATTTTGAACACGATCTACTTTCTTTCGAGGAATGTCAACATCAACGGTGCTAGGTCATCAAAATATACGTCATCAAATTTGAATTAGCAATCATTCATGTAGTTTCACAGGGGAAGTCTCAAGGTTTTGTTAAAACGAAATTCGTGTGAGATAAATAGAACATCTATAGATGTGTGTTTTGATATTGGTTTTATCCAACTCGTTGAAATGGTGTATATTCGCTCGGCAAGCCTCGTGAAAATATACACCATTTCAACTCGTTGGATAAAGCCAGTAACAAATCACGCAAACAGAAATCCTTTGTATGCATACTTAGGACCCACAGCATGATCAAGCAACTGCACATTATGACGTCATGTTATAACGTCATTGATCTTTTCCATTCAAGGTAATAAATACATCAACAAAACAACGTCGACATAAGGGCACATCCTGTTTAATTTTTGATTAATAGTTTATAACATTAAGAGAAATGTTTTAAAAATTAATGAAATTGCAGCACAAATCCTATGCGCTTTCTCAAAAAGTTTAGGCAACGTACACCGGACAATGATTTTTTACCCTGTTTTAACTTAAAACTTTTGAAATAGTTAACTAAACAATTGCAATGTTGACATTTGTGCAGCAATATAATAAATCCATGTAATATTATGCATCTATTTATACCTTGCTTCTGAAGAACAAAGTTGGGTATACCCTTGTGCCAAAGCTACTTTGTTGATTTCCTTCTAAAAATATGTAATACAAGACTATGACGTCATAATATGACGTCATAATGTGCACTGGCTAGCGCATGTAGTAGTTACAAAGTTTGTATAAAAAAACAAGTTCTAACCTTTTCTGTGCTTGCAATAAGTACAGCTCGTATGCGTTTTAAATAATTAGTTCATTACTTAGAAACTATACATAAACTTAGCTTACTTGCGTTAAGATTTGAAGGCTGTATCTTGAATTGCATACTATTACATAAATTAAGAATGTTTAGCAAAACAACGCCAGTGCCAGGATTCAGTTACAGTAACTGTTCATCAAAGCAAGTCTAGTTTAAGAATAACGGTAATCTTTTAGTTCTGGGCTTTACAAACCTGATGCCTCAATCCAATCCATAAAGCTCCAGTAACATTTTTGCTAATGATTTCAATCCACATTTGTTCATATGCAGAGTTTATAGAAGCGAGGTTTGCGCCATCCACCTGGCAGGTGGCTTGGGCCACATCAAATTCCATAGCAGAATAGATGACACGGTAACAGCTGCCAGCACAGCTGGTGTAACCACTGGGACAATCTGAGACTACTGGAGCTTGAGTTGGATATCTCAAGGCTGTATGTAAAAGAAAACAACTAAAAAATTTCTTTTTCAAAGATGAGTTATTTCATTATTTTTTTATGGCTAAATTATGTTTTTGCACTTTAGGATATTTAAATATCCCATCAAGGAGAAGTTGTATATTTAATCTAAAGTCAAAGTAATCCAAGAAGTCAAGGTAAAAAATAATAAATTTAAGATGGATAAACTTTCAACTATCCTTACAGGGTCAAAAATTTATCCAAAACCCCCAGAGAATCAGTCCCGAGTAACGGTTTCAAACCCAAGAGAATCAGCCCGTGGTAACGTCTAAAAAACCCTAGAGAATCAGTCCCGAGTAATGTCTACAGACCCAAGAGAATCAGTCCCGAGTAACGTCTACAAATCCAAGAGAATCAGTCCCGAGTAATGTCTACAGACCCAAGAGAATCAGTCCCGAGACGCCTTCAAACCCAAGAGAATCAGTCCCGAGTAATGTCTAGACCCAAGAGAATCAGTCCCGAGTAACGTCTAAAGACCCAAGAAAATCAGTCCCGAGTAATGTCTACAAACCCAAGAGAATCTGCCCCGAGTAACGTCTACAAACCCAAGAGAATCAGTCCCGAGTAATGTCTACAGACCCAAGAGAATCAGTCCTGAGTAACGTCTAAAGACCCAAGAGAATCAGTCCCGAGTAATGTCTACAAACCCAAGAGAATCTGCCCCGAGTAACGTCTACAAACCCAAGAGAATCAGTCCCGAGTAATGTCTACAGACCCAAGAGAATCAGAATCAGCCCCGTGTAACGTCTATACCAACAACCATGTAACATTCAAAGTCATTCTAGTATAGAATATCTTTTTCTCTCATTTTTGTAACGTTACTTTTTTTTTATGTCGGTCATGTTAGATTTTGTTGTAATACATTAAAAACATATTTTCATTTGAAAAAAACTTGCTCTCACATCATCTTACCGGGATTCCTTTATCCCAGAGTAAATACAGGCGCGGATCCAGAAATTTTTTCCAGGGGGGGTCCACCCAGTTAAATAAAAATCCAATCCCAGAAATTTCTTGACAAGCAAAAAAAAAAAAAAAAAAAAAAAAAAACTTAAGTCGCCCAAACGTGAAAAACCTATTTCATGCGGGGGGGGGGGGGGGGGGGGTAAGACTTCTATATATTGCCTCAAATCTTTCACATTTCATACCCATTTCTCCAGGGGGGTCAGCGTTTTCCAGGGGGGTCCAAGGTCACTTTTCTCATACTTTAGTATATACATTTTTTAACCGTGGAAAATCCAGGGGGGGTCCAGACCCCCCCCCCGACCCCCCCTCTAGATCCGCGCATGAAATAATTTACTATAACCTGGTTATAAATGGCATATAACGACGATCGTTTTCTAAATAAATTTACTTTTGTTTTTCTGACAAATGTTACATGTACTCCTTTTACCTTTGTTTGTTTGACAGTTATAACTCCGTTTACCTTTGTTTGTCTGACAAATGTAACTCCTATTTAAAAAACAAGATATAGAATTCCAACTTCCATCCTTGACGCTCATCTCCGCACAACCTTCCTAAAACAAAATTAATGAAATATTTAAAATAAAAAGTTTTTTTAACTTTTCAAAACTATAAGGGCATCTTGATTACTGAAGGTGTAATGACGAATAATGACCCCCATAGAATATGACCGTAGACTACGACGAAAAATGTCTCCCGGTTATTATTCTACGGCGAAAAATTCCCCAGAGCTAAGCAAGGAATTTTCTAATAAAATCAAATGGAAGGCAGGAGGGGGTACCTCTTACTGAGCTCAGTGCTCACAGTACCTCTAGCTTTAATCTTGTTTTGTTCCACCCTTTCACTCTGTTCTGTGTATATTTTTAGAGCGTTTTAATATGAAAATCAGAACATTTCATTTCATTTTTGTAACGTTTTCTTCATACCGTCTCAAAGCAAAATATGAAAAATTAAATGAAAACCATTTCTTTTGTTATGCATGTACATACTTCGCACATATACCCGTAAAGTATCTAAACAACCCTAGACAGTCAAAACCTAGAGGTACTCTGTGCTATGAGCTCACTAGATGATACCCCCGCTTCCCATATGATTATAGGGGAAAATTTATGTTTTGCTCTGTGAGATCCAAAATAAGTGTCGGATCAATAAGTGTTGGTTGTGTTAGAATGTACATGTGCGTTATTATTTCATTGCCTCGATGAAATAATTCTAATCTTTTTTTAATAACAAACATAAAAGTAATAAATAAAAGTTTTGAAAATTTGCTAAATACTGTGCCTTAATGGTTATTTTAAGGTTTTAATTTGTTTCTTTTTCTAATTCTCCACAGATATTCATGAATTTATGATTTTATATTAAAAAAAAGTCGTTCACCTGAACTCTCCCCAAGATGAAAGTGCATAAGACATGGAATTCAAACGTATTGAGTTTTTGGATATGAATAACAGTACTAGTGCCTAAATTAACTAACTTATACAAGTTTTTAAGAAAAATGGCATAAGTAAATATTGTTTAGAAAACATTAATTATTACATTTTCAAATGACAACGATTTTTAATCTTTTAATATGATAAAACATCGTCATTATCACATAACATGACAAAGACCTACGACATCAGCATGTTGCACGTCCAACATGTTGCCGTTGCACCAACGTTTGGTCTACACTGAAAATTTTACAGAGATATACATGTACCATGCATAGTACATGTACATGTATTTTTTTTTTTAATTTCAACGGATTCGTTATAAAAATTCTTTGAAATACTCAAATGAAATATTTTTTGGTGATTTGATGTTTTGCGTCAATATAAACTATAAAATTTTGGTTCACTCTAAATGGGGGCATTTTTAAACGGGGGTCAATTCTTTATAAGACTCGCATATAAAATGACCCCTGTGGCTCTTTTTCTACAAAAACAAAAAAAATGATATTTTTAACGGGTGGGGGGTATTTTCTGTCGTTGAAAAATGACCCCGGTCATTATTCTACGGGGTCATGATTCGTCTTTACACAGGCATAACATACTGGAAACATTTGCATTTTAAATCATTAAAATTGATGTTTCTGTTTTGTGTGGTTATCTTAATGAATTCGAATAGATATATTTGCTAAACTTAAAGCAATATGAGCTACAACTTTGATAACAGAATATTTTGCTGCAAAATTGTAAATAACTATTTCATTGACAGAAAAATTAACGTTAATGAACGTCTGTTGATCACATTTGCGATGCAAGAACAATTTATAAGCTTTGATTGAATCAAAATTACATAAATTTAGATCTATACAATAATGATTCTTAGTACATAAATCTGTATATTGGATTGTAAGTCTTTCTTCTGCTTTATTTTAGTCTAATTCATCATAAAGGTTTAAGTTAAGTACAAATTTAATAGAATATTACATTGAAACAGCACAATAAAATTTTCAAAAATGCAGTTCATATTGCTTTCAGGGTGAATCTTACGGTAAGTGAGTTTGGTTCCCCTCTAGCCCAGTTTGTGAAGTCTACGCGGGAATTGTCCATCCAAATGAAATAATGTTTATCATAATAATAATCATTATCAAAGAGTCCAATCCACAAATTCTTTGATTTCGTAGTATCAAACTGAAGCTCTATGAAAGCTGTGAACAATTTATAAAAAGACTAGTAAATTCATGTTATAAGTTCTAATATGTCAGCCACTTATTCAAAAAAGTGAAAATTATTTTCGAGTAATACAAATATCACATATGTAGAGTTAGCTTATATAAATATGAAGTCACATTCATTTTTTTAAAAATGCACAAGATTAAATAAAAATTTGGTCTCACCATTTTCCATCGCTGAATGAATTGAAACAAGAGAAAAGTCTTTTCCTAGAACGCTACACGAATACTTTGCCTGTCTAAAGTTTAATCTCGAGTCCTGAACTATCTTGTAACATTTGTTATCTGTTAATTAAAATCAATGTCTATTTAGTGTAGTATCATTGTGAAATAAAATTGTAGATTTAGATTTTAAAAATTTAAGTTAGACTTATATATTTGAATTACTCCCATGTCAACTTCACTAGTCCTCATCCACTCATTGACGTAAAAAACAAAGACAATCGCAGGAGATTTACATTCATATTTGGCCTCCATAGCGTCAAACACAAAGACTGACGCGCACGAGATTTACTTAAGGAATCATTGTCTAGTTAGTATAGTATGCCAGGGCATCAACAATAGTGGGAAACATGAGCCCGTTATGCATCAATTATCCCATGTTTTCCACTATTGTTGATGTCCCTGGCATACTATACTATTCTAACTAGACAGTGATTCCTTATATTTCCATTTCCTAATGAAATAAAATTGTAGATTTGGTCTTTAGAAATGCAGACATAAATTTAAATTACACGAGGATTCCCATCCCAGTTTTAATAGTCCTCGCCCACTGACGTCAAACACAATGACAACCACACGAGATTTTCAAGCATATTTGGCCTCCTTAGCGTCAGACTCAGAGACAGATGCGCACGAGATTTGCATACATATTAGGCCCCTTAGCTCCTGACCTATTAACCTGTCTAATTAATTTACATTCCGGTAGAATTATCTAGAAATTAACTCCGCTAACTTTCAAGGAGTTATCACAGAGAGAAAAATTAGAAATGGAAATATATGCGTATCAAAGTTCCTTAGCTAGTACGCCTATCGATTTGCCTAATTTACATTCTGGTAAAATTGTCAAGAAATCAACTCCACTAACTTTAATTTCAAAGAGTTATCATAGAGAAAACAAATAGGAATGGAAAGACATTCCTAGAAAGTATATTTTGTGCTGGTATGTTTCAATGTGAAAACATTTTAGTGATCATGTAAATGAATTAGCTAAACTACTCACTTATCGGAGATTCTACAAAGCCTGAAGGACAGCCCCCGGATCGCACAGGCGTGTACTTAGCCGTGGTGACAAGCTCGTCTGAGCCAGTCCTCTTCATACAAACCAAATTGTCACATTTCATATTGCAATTCTCTGTTCTCCGGCAACCTCCTGTAATTTTTTGTTAATTATGAATTAGAGTAAGGCCACATAGACACATAGCTCAGTTGTTTCTGATACATCATTTCATTCACACTTTTGTAAATTTGTAACAATGTGGTTTCCTTGAACATTGTTTATAAAGATATTTAAAAATTCAAATATGACAAATATAATTATTTCTCGAACGTTGAACAAGTCAGTAGCATCATACATGCTCTGTTAGCATAGCAAGATCGTTCTCGGAAAATACATATACAGTTATATCAGGGAATAATACGTAATGTCGCGAGCACCTCGCAGTTATCTAACTTACTACCGCTCTTTTGCGGGAGAGTCGAGAAAGCTCTAGATTTTGGGGACACATGACATTGTTTACAGTAGAAACAATCAACTGATTTATCAATTTAAAGCCCAAAATACTATGTATTGGCAAGAATTGGATTCCAAATAGTCGATTGTCAGCTAAGGAAAATTTAGAACATTTTATCAGCTTTGAAATGTGACGATTTTCAATGAAAATTTAATGAGAAAGGTCCGCTTAGTTAAAAATGTAACATTTTAGGATTAGCTCATCTCAAAAATTAATAAGGCTGGTTCAGCAATTTTTAAGCAAGGTATTCCACCAGGATTTTTATCCTTATATATCCTTATAAACTCTACAATGACCGATCTTGCATTGTATTCAATTTGCATATTTGTCCCCACCTAACAGACGTTTCCTACCTCCATCGCGAAAGAGTTCCGCTAAGTTGAGCAATCGCGATATAAAGTATCCTAATGAATGGCTCTTTATCGAGTATAATTTAATCTGGTTTGGGTCAGTTTACGTTTTATAATCCGCGCGAAGCCTACGTGATTCCTACAGATGCACATTACAAAAACAACTGAACAGTTGCTGAGAAATCGCGTGTACAAAATTTAGGAAACTGAGAATAATAAATAGAAACTTATTACTAGTAATGAGAAGGTCTTTCGTTATACTACTTCCATCTGCATGACGCGGTGTTTAGATTGCAGTTTTAGCGAAAATATTTGCATGGACATATCCTTTCCAATGTCGGATCTAGCATTAAACTAGCATTAAACTTATTTAGTAAGAAAAAAAACTTGAAAAATAAACTTTTTTGTTGCACTTCATGTCAGAAAGTGAGTAATGGCAACACACAATTTTACGTGATGCATCTAAACTGATGACAGAGAATCGGTCTTAAAATTTAGATTTCTGTTGTTTACTGTTTTCTAGCAATTGTGGAAACAAATACTAATTTTGAGGTCAGGAAAATACGCGACCGGAAGTATCTGTACGTTAAATCCATGACAAACTAAAAATAATACTTTGAAATAACATAGAAGAAATAGTGGAATCAATATAAGGTCTTCCATGAGGGCATTTATATACTGTGGCATACCGCGACGCACTTCTTCGTAGACGCATCGCCTCAAAGGGTCAAGAGATAAAGAGGAACCAACAAAGCTGATGTCTGATGTACCATCCCATCTGGAGAAAAAGATTAAAGAATATACCTTGAAGGAATCTTGCATTTTCTGAATTATTGAGGGTTTAATCCGTTTATAAATCAAAGAGCAAAATTGTAAAGTGTAATTGAATAAAAACGTAAAAATGACAAGACAATCAATTATTGCTAAAAGTTTATATATCAACTAAATAATTAATATAAAAGACAACTTAATTGAAACAAAAGCGAACTACATCCTTTAAACGGATTTATTAGAAAATAATGTAAACAAAGCCTTATTATAATCGATGTACAGGTCTCAAAATAACACTTTATAGGGTCAAACACCGAATAGCTTTTTGTTTTGACAACTTTGTGGTTTATATACTTTTTATTTGTCAAAATATTTTTGCCAAAGTAATGTTTGTTTGCAACAGGGGAGATACCGTTGCCAAATTTATTGTTCTTTGTACTCAGGAAATATCCCGGTGATCTCCCCTTAACTTTATCTGTGTTATATACTTATTGTCATTTAATAAATGACAATTCTCACTCAGTATACATTGTTTGTTATATTTCAACTTTTGCGGTAGTCTAGCCAGATCACTAGGGTTACATAAAATATATTCTTACTTCCATCCGTCTTGATCTATATTGTTTAATCCTATCCAGAACTCTGAGTATCCATCCCTCATCTTTACCTATTAAAGTATACGAACATAAACAAAACTGAAAATAGTTTAACTGAGTAGAACAAGAGGCCCATGGGCCACATCGCTCACCTGAGAAGCTTTGACCATTCTGTTCTTTACCAGATTTCCCCCTTGTTATACATAATGCATCCCCACCCTACCCCACTGATCATAATTTAGATATTTTGAAATCTACACTACCCCATGATCCTTCCATGGGCACATATGTTTCAGCTTTTTTGGCCCAGTGGTTTCTGAGAAGAAGTTTTTCAAAGATTTGTCCTATATATTTCTATGTAAAACTTTGATTCCCTATAATGGCCAAAAGCCCTTCCCCCGGGGGTCACGATTCCTACAATTTAGAATTTACACTACCCCAGAATGCTTCCACATAAGCTTCACTTTTTCTGACCCAGTGGTTCTTGAGAAGAAGATTTTCAAAGATTTTTCTTATATATTTCTATATAAAACTTTGATTCCCCATTGTGGCCCCACCCTTCCCCTGGGGGTCATTATTTGAACAATTTAGAATCTAAATTATACCAGGATGCTTCCACATAAGTTTCAGCTTTTCTGGCCCAGTGGTTCTTGAGAAGAAGATTTTCAAAGATTTTTCCTATATATTTCTATATAAAACTTTGATTCCCCCATTGTGGCCCCGCCCTTCCCCCGGGGGTCATTATTTGAACAATTTGGAATCTACACTACCCCAGGATGCCTCCAAATAAGTTTCAGTTTTTTTGGCCCAGTGGTTCTTGAGAAGAAGATTTTCAAAGATTTTTCCTATATATTTCTATATAAAACTTTGATTCCCCATTGTGGCCCCGCCCTTCCCCCGGGACTCATGATTTGAACAATTTAGAATCTACACTACCCTAGGATGCTTCCACATAAGTTTCAGCTTTTTTTGGCCCAGTGGTTCTTGAGAAGAAGATTTTCAAAGATTTTTCCTACATATTTCTATATAAAACTTTGATTCCCCATTGTGGCTCCGCCCTTCCCCCGGGGGTCATGATTTGAATAATTTAGAATCTACACTACCCCAGCATGCTTCCACATAAGTTTCAGCTTTACTGGCCCAGTGGTTCTTGAGAAGAAGATTTTCAAAGATCTTTCCTACATATTTCTATATAAAACTTTGATTCCCCATTGTGGCCCCACCCTTCCCCCGGGGGTCATTATTTGAACAATTTAGAATCTACCTTATATCAGGATGCTTCCGCATAAGTTTCAGCTTTTTTGGCCCAGTGGTTCTTGAGAAGAAGATTTTCAAAGATTTTTCCTTCATATTTCTATATAAAACTTTGATTCCCCATTGTGGCCCCGCCTTCCCCCAGGGGTCATGATTTGAATAATTTAGAATCTATACTACCCCAGGATGCCTCCAAATAAGTTTCAGTTTTTTTGGCCCAGTGGTTCTTGAGAAGAAGATTTTCAAAGATTTTTCCTATATATTTCTATATAAAACTTTGATTCCCCATTGTGGCCCCGCCCTTCCCCCGGGACTCATGATTTGAACAATTTAGAATCTACACTACCCCAGGATGCTTCTACATAAGTTTCAGCTTTTCTGGCCCAGTGGTTCTTGAGTAGAAGATTTTCAAAGACTTTTCCTATATATTTTTATGCAAAACTTTGATTCCCCATTGTGGCTCCGCCCTTCCCCCGGGGGCCATGATTTGAATAATTTAGAATCTACACTACCCCAGCATGCTTCCACATAAGTTTCAGCTTTACTGGCCCAGTGGTTCTTGAGAAGAAGATTTTCAAAGATCTTTCCTACATATTTCTATATAAAACTTTGATTCCCCATTGTGGCCCCACCCTTCCCCCGGGGGTCATTATTTGAACAATTTAGAATCTACCTTATATCAGGATGCTTCCGCATAAGTTTCAGCTTTTTTGGCCCAGTGGTTCTTGAGAAGAAGATTTTCAAAGATTTTTCCTTCATATTTCTATATAAAACTTTGATTCCCCATTGTGGCCCCGCCCTTCCCCCAGGGGTCATGATTTGAATAATTTAGAATCTATACTACCCCAGGATGCCTCCAAATAAGTTTCAGTTTTTTTGGCCCAGTGGTTCTTGAAAAGAAGATTTTCAAAGATTTTTCCTATATATTTCTATATAAAACTTTGATTCCCCATTGTGGCCCCGCCCTTCCCCCGGGACTCATGATTTGAACAATTTAGAATCTACACTACCCTAGGATGCTTCCACATAAGTTTCAGCTTTTTTGGCCCAGTGGTTCTTGAAAAGAAGATTTTCAAAGATTTTTCCTTCATATTTATATATAAAACTTTGATTCCCCATTGTGGCCCCACCCTTCCCCCGGGGGTCATTATTTGAACAATTTAGAATCTACATTATACCAGGATGCTTCCACATAAGTTTCAGCTTTTTTGGCCCAGTGGTTCTTGAGAAGAAGATTTTCAAAGATTTTTCCTATATATTTCTATATAAAACTTTGATTCCCCATTGTGGCCCCGCCCTTCCCCCGGGGTCATGATTTGAACAATTTAGAATCTACACTACCCTAGGATGCTTCCACATAAGTTTCAGTTTTACTGGCCCAGTGGTTCTTGAGAAGAAGATTTTTTAATGACCCCACCCTATTTTTGTCTTTTCTTGCGAGGGGATATGTCCCTTCATTTTAACACTTTAAATTTCCCTTCACCCAAGGATGCTTTGTACCAAGTTTGGTCAAAATTGGCCCAGTGGTTCTTGAGAAGAAGTCGAAAATGTGAAAAGTTTACAGACGGACAGACAGACGGACGGACGGACGGACGACGGACAAAATGTGATCAGAAAAGCTCACTTGAGCCTTCGGCTCAGGTGAGCTAAAAACAACATGAATTCATGTTAAAAATAAATTATAATATAAATAAAATATTTGTAAGTAAGAACCATTTATATACTGATATTTTTATTACTTTGAAAGAGTTTTACTAAGTATAGCAAAAGGAAAGATTTTAGGGAGCGTGCATTTTCTATGCAAGAAAAGTCTTCAAAAACAATGAAGAAATGATAAATAAAAATAACTTAGCTTATTCAATGAAACAGGGTGAATGTACGGAATAGGGATCAATATCATAACAAGAGGCCCAGGGGCCACAGCGCTCACCTGAGCACATCGGGCTTGAATTTACTCCCCCCCCCCCTTCCAGGCGTTCATCATTTGAACAAACTAGAATCTACACTACCTGAGGATGATTCCATATAAATACCCCGGGTATCACTAATTATAGCTTTGAAGTACTTGAAAAGAAGATTTTAAAAGGTTTCCCTATATATCCCTATGTAAAAACTTGGGTCGGCCATTTTGGCCCCACCCTATCCCCAGGGCCGGGGGTCATGATTTGAAAAAAACTTGAATCTACACTACCTGAGGATGATTCCACATGAGTTTCATCTTTCCTGGCCCAGTGGTAATTGAGAAGGATTTTTAAAGATTTTTCTTATATATTCCTATGTAAAACTAGGGCCGGCCATTTTGGCCCCATCCTTGCCCCGGGGGTCATGATTTGAACAAACTTGAATCTACACTACCTGAGGATGATTCCACATGAATTTCATCTTTCCTGGCCCAGTGGTTCTGGAGGAGAAGATTTTTAAAGATTTTTCTTATATATTCCTATGAAAAACTTGGGTCGGCCATTTTGGCCCCACCCTTGCCCCAGGGGACATGATTTGAACAAACTTGAATCTACACTACCTGAGGATGATTTCACATGAGTTTCATCTTTCCTGTCCTAGTGGTTCTTGAGAAGAAGATTTTTAAAGATTTTTCTTATATATTCCTATGTAAAACTTGGGTCGGCCATTTTGGCCCCATCCTTGCCCCGGGGGTCATGATTTGAACAAACTTGAATCTACACTGCCTGAGGATGCTTCCACATGAGTTTCATCTTTCCTGGCCCAGTGGTTCTGGAGAAGAAGATTTTTAAAGATTTTTCCTATATATTCCTATGTAAAACTTGGGTCGGCCATTTTGGCCCCACCCTTGCCCCGGGGGTCATGATTTGTACAAACCTGAATCTACACTACCTGAGGATGCTTCCACTTGAGTTTCATCTTTCCTAGCCCAGTGGTTCTGGAGAAGAAGATTTTTAAAGATTTTTCCTATATATTCCTATTTAAAACTTGGGTCGGCCATTTTGGCCCCACCCTTGCCCCAGGGGTCATGATTTGAACAAACTTGAATCTACACTACCTGAGGATGCTTCCACATGAGTTTCATCTTTCCTGGCCCAGCGGTTCTGGAGAAGAAGATTTTTTAAAAATGCCATTAATTTTTAACAAATTCATGATTATCTCCCCTTGGAAAAGGGTGTGGCCCTTCTTTGAATAAACTTGAATCCCCTTCACCCAAGGATAATTTGTGCCAAGTTTGGTTGAAATTGGCCCAGTGGTTCTTGAGAAGAAGATAAAAATGTGAAAAGTTTACGACGACAACAACGACAACAACGACAACGACAACGACAGACAACGGACAAATTTTGATCAGAAAAGCTCACTTGAGCCTTCGGCTCAGGTGAGCTAAAAACTTCGTATAATACAAATTTATGAACAAGACATAAACTATTCAATCTTGGTATAGCATATAGCGTTTTATTGTAATTATGGTATACAGTACAGGAAGTTGTACTGTATACGGTGCACCCTTACTTATTTTTACCACAAGGTACCTAACTCAATTTCATGCACCCCGCTTCAACCTCGTATTTTATTTGTATATCAACCGAATTATTAATTTTCTTTAAAATTACATCGTTTGCTTCGAGACCTTTTTATGTAAATTAAATTGTTTCAGACTTCTCTGGTTGATCCTCTCTATTGTAAACGACACATTTATTCCTCGATTAAATTACCTCGATACAAAGTAAGACTTTAGATTGGATAAACAAATTCCGGTTGGGGTAATGAATGAAGGATTAACCAGAGACCTCGGAATGGAATACTTGGAAGTCTCGGGTTTGATCCTCTATCAATAAACCCAACTGGAAGCTTTTAATCCCGTCTAAAATCTAATTTTATATCGAGGTAATTTTTGAATTTTTCGTTCTCTTGAAGCGAACGATGTCATTTTAAAGTAGGTTAATGATTGATAAGTTAACAAAATACGAGCTTGAGGCAGGGGTGCCTGAAATTGAAGTTAGGTACCTTGTGGTAAAAATAAGTTGGAAGTGCCACGTACACGAAACAAGTGTCTGTGGTTAAAATAAGTAGTAGTGCCCCATATACGAAACAAGTGCCATGGGTCACGTAAGAGTGCCCTGTATACGAAACAAGTGCCTGGGTGTACGCAGGGGTGCCTCATATACAAAACAAGTGCCTGGAGGTACGTAGTGCTGCCTCGTATACGAAAAAACTGCTTGTGGTACGTAGGGGTGCCTCATATACGAAACAAGTGCCTGTGGTTAAAATAAGTAGGGGTGCCCAGTATATGAAACAAGTGCCTGGGGTATGTAGGAGTGTCCTGTATACGAAGCAAGTGCCTTGGGTGGATAGGGGTGCCTCATATATGAAAAAAAAGTGCCTGGGTACGTAGGGGTGCCTCATATACAAAACACGTGCCTGGGGTACGTAGGGGTACCCATATACGAAACAAGTGCCTGGGGTACGCAGGGGTACCCATATACAAAACAAGTGTCTGGGGTACATAGGGGTACCCATATACGAAACAAGTGCCAGGGGAACGTAGGGGTGCCCATATACGAAACAAGTGCCTGGGGTATGCAGGGGTACCCTGTATACGAAACAAGTGCCTGTGTGAACAGATTACAATTTATTTTTCGTGAAATGATGGGTCTTTCTAACTACAAGGAAGAGCCGTGAAATTGAATTATATAGAGGATCCTTAAGAACATTTGAAACTTATACGAGCATCAAATAAACACGTGTTTTATAAATAAAACGATAAAACTAGGAGTGCCATCCTGGTGTGACAAATAAGGTGAGTTACAAATTAAATTTCTCTGGTATTTAAAAAACTGACATAATGACTCCAGAACCTTTCATCACACTGAATAGAAAAAAATGAAAATTTTATTCTCTGACAAATGATTGCAACGAAAGAAAAACTACATAAAAAACAACACAAAACGTCATGTTGTCAATTGAGAAATTACTCACATTTCTAATGAGCACATGATGTTGGTCTCGTGAAGTGATAGTGACTAGACTGGCGTTCATATCGTTACAGGCGTCTCTTGATTCATACCATGTCCTTCCTCTAAAAGAAAGCATAGTCATAAACACGTTATTATAATGGAAAAATTACTGAAACACAGAAACATTTTTCATGTCAAGGTTAAAAAAGCTATGTACGGTGTAAATAGTAAAATCAGGGATTTGCATTTTAACGTAGAAACACAATTAGCTGTATTCGATACTTATGTTAACAGTGTTATGAGTTATGGAGCTGAAATATGGGGATTTCACATGGGTCAAAACGTAGAAAATGTTCACTTAAATTATTGTAATAGAGTCTTAAAGGTCAGACAAAGCACTAGTAATGATGCAGTTTATTGTGAATCAGGTAGATTTCCACTTATACTTGAAAAGAAAAAGAAAATTTTGAAATACTGGGTGAAATTAAAAAACAGTGATAATTGTATATTACAAGCATGTTATCAAGATATGATTGAAAATAATGATGAGTGGGTTGTAAACATTAGGAAGGAATTCCAAAGGCTTGGTTTAGCTGAGATGTACAATAGTGATTGTATTGATAATAATAGTTAAATACTCTGAACATTATATTCCATAGAATGTATGACTGTTATAAACAAGAAATTATGGCAAGAATTTGTAATTCTCCTAAATATATTTCCTATTTCAACATTAGTGGATAATGTTGCACTACAGACTTATTTAAGAAAATCATTGCATTCTAAGTATAGAATACGTATAAGTCGTTTAAGGCTATCAGCTCATGATTTAAGAATAGAAAGGGGAAGGTATAGAAATATAGAAAGAAAAGATAGAAAATGTGAAATTTGTATGTCAGGTGAGATAGAGGACGAATTTCATTTTGTATTAAAATGTCCTCAATATGAAGAACTTAGAATTAAATATATTAAGTGTTATTATTTTCAAAAACCATCAGTATTTAAATTAGTACAGCTACTGAGTTCTACAAATACTAAAGAACTATGTAACTTGGGCAATTTTTTGTATTTTTCTCATCAATTAAGAAATGATGTTCTAAATAATAATTAAATGATATTGTTATGTAATTAACATAAGTATATTGTATAGCCTGTACAAATCTTATGTATGAATATTGTATACCTATGAGATGTAATATCTCCGGTTCAAATATAAAATACAAATACAAATATTAGTACCCGATTAGCTATCATCATTTATACGTCATTATTATTATTCTCTGATTAAGTGTAATTTTTAATGCGTCAATGCGATATTATTACTCCCTGCACAAATATAACCATTAACACGTAATTTTTCCCGACGAAATATGATTATTAACACTTTATTATTATTCCCTGATCAGCTGTAATCATTTATAAGTTATTATAATTCCCTGTTTATCTGTAATCATTAGTATGTTACTATAATTCCCCGCTTATCTGTAATCATTAGTATGTTACTATTATTCCCTGCTTATCTATAATCATTAGTATGTAACTATTATTCCCCGTTTATCTGTAATCATTAGTATGTTACTATTATTCCCCGTTTATCTGTAATCATTAGTATGTTACTATTATTCCCTGTTTATCTGTAATCATTAGTATGTTACTATTATTCCCTGTTTATCTGTAATCATTAGTATGTTACTATTATTCCCTGTTTATCTGTAATCATTAGTATGTTACTATTATTCCCTGTTTATCTGTAATCATTAGTATGTTACTATTATTCCCTGTTTATCATTAATCATTAGTATGTTACTATTATTCCCAGTTTATCATTAATCATTAGTATGTTACTATCATTCCCCGTTAATCTGTAATCATTAATATGTTACTATTATTCCCTGTTTATCTGTAATCATTAGTATAATACTATTATTCCCTGTTTATCTGTAATCATTAGTATGTTACTATTATTCTTCCTCGTTTATCTGTAATCATTAGTATGTTACTATTATTCTTCCTTGTTTATCTGTAATCATTAGTATGTTACTATTATTCCCTGTTTATCTGTAATCATAAGTATGTTACTATTATTCCCTGTTTATCTGTAATCATTAGTATGGTACTATTATTCCCCGTTTATCTGTAATCATTAGTATGTTACTATTATTCCCTGTTTATCTGTAATCATTAGTATGTTACTATTATTCCCTGTTTATCTGTAATCATTAGTATGTTACTATTATTCCCCGTTTATCTGTAATCATTAGTATGTTACTATTATTCCCCGTTTATCTGTAATCATTAGTATGGTACTATTATTCCCCGTTTATCTGTAATCATTAGTATGTTACTATTATTCCCTGTTTATCATTAATCATTAGTATGTTACTATTATTCCCTGTTTATCTGTAATCATTAGTACGTTATTATTATTCCCTGTTTATCATTAATCATTAGTATGTAAGTATTATTCCCTGTTTATCTGTAATCATTAGTACGTTACTATTATTCCCTGTTTATCATTAATCATTAGTATGTTACTATTATTCCCTGTTTATCTGTTATCATTAGTACGTTATTATTATTCCCTGTTTATCATTAATCATTAGTATGTAAGTATTATTCCCTGTTTATCTGTAATCATTAGTACGTTACTATTATTCCCTGTTTATCATTAATCATTAGTATGTTACTATTATTCCCTGTTTATCTGTAATCATTAGTATGTTACTATTATTCCCTGTTTATCTGTAATCATTAGTATGTTACTATTATTCCCTGTTTATCTGTAATCATTAGTATGTTACTATTATTCCCCGTTTATCTGTAACCATTAGTATGTTACTATTATTCCCTGTTTATCTGTAATCATTAGTATAATACTATTATTCCCTGTTTATCTGTAATCATTAGTACGTTACTATTATTTCCCGTATATCTGTAATCATTAGTATGTTACTATTATTCCCCGTATATCTGTAATCATTAGTATGTTACTATTATTCCCTGTTTATCTGTAATCATTAGTATGTTACTATTATTCCCTGTTTATCTGTAATCATTAGTATGTTACTATTATTCCCCGTATATCTGTAATCATTAGTATGTTACTATTATTCCCTGTTTATCTGTAATCATTAGTATAATACTATTATTCCCCGTTTATCTGTAATCATAAGTATGTTACTATTATTCCCTGTTTATCTGTAATCATTAGTATGTTACTATTATTCCCTGTTTATCTGTAATCATTAGTATGTTACTGTTATTCCCTGTTTATCTGTAATCATAAGTATGTTACTATTATTCCCTGTTTATCTGTAATCATTAGTATGTTACTATTATTCCCTGTTTATCTGTAATCATTAGTATGTTACTATTATTCCCCGTTTATCTGTAATCATTAGTATGTTACTATTATTCCCCGTTTATCTGTAATCATTAGTATGTTACTATTATTCCCTGTTTATCTGTAATCATTAGTATGTTACTATTATTCCCCGTTTATCTGTAATCATTAGTATGTTTCTATTATTCCCTGTTTATCTGTAATCATTAGTATGTTACTATTATTCCCTGTTTATCTGTAATCATTAGTATGTTACTATTATTCCCTGTTTATTTGTAATCATTAGTACGTTACTATTATTCCCTGTTTATCTGTAATCATTAGTATGTTACTATTATTCCCCGTTTATCTGTAATCATTAGTATGTTACTATTATTCCCTGTTTATCTGTAATCATTAGTATGTTACTATTATTCCCCGTTTATCTGTAATCATTAGTATGTTACTATTATTCCCCGTATATCTGTAATCATTAGTATGTTACCATTATTCCCTGTTTATCTGTAATCATTAGTATGTTACTATTATTCCCCGTTTAAAATCTTTTATCAACTTACATTCCTGACATATCAAAGAAGTAACATAGTCCATCGATATACACAAATCTACTGTCACCACAAGGCTCTGCAATGAGAAATACCTCTCAAAAGATAAATTGTAAAACAATGACATTGATATTTTTAAATCTACTTCAAAGCAAGGTTTGTTAATTCGGAATATATCACAAAAGATACATTATGAAATAACCTCGTCCATATGGAAAATCACTGTCAACACAAAATTTTGTAAGATAAATGTGTAAACATATATAAATCAGAAATCAACAGGAAAATGTTATTTGTCACAACAATTAAATATGTAAACTATGAAAGCCAAATTCTTAACCGTTTAAAAGTTATGACAAAGTTTTTTTTTTAAAATCAGGTCAACCTCCTAGGTCTAGGCTAAGGGTCAAAGTTGTTGATATCTTTGCTTCAGTAAAAAATGCTAACTATTGTTTTCAAGATGAATATGTCATTGTTAGAACTGATGGAACAGACATTGTTCAAGAAGACTACGCGCGTGGCTTGCTCATGCACTGATTAATGACAATGGTCTTCATAAGAAATAAAGGGAAAAAAATATTCAGTGGATGTAAGTAAATCATTTTCATTACTGCATAATATTTACATATTTTTTTCTGCTTTGATATTTCAGAGTGGAAGAAAATTGAAAATAATCGATTATTAATCGATTACATTGTATAAAGTAATCGATTACAGGTCAAAACTGACTGCAATCGATTATTAATTGATTACACAAAATTCCTGGGATTATTAATCGATTACATTTTTTAGTAATCGTGCCCATGCCTGGACCCCAGCCTTGCTGTAGGTTTTACGAGGAAATCTGCCCTATCTCCCCCTGAAAGATTGTCAGTGGACCTTTGTCCCCCCCTCCCCCCTTACCATACTCCTCCGTCTCCTCTGAGTCGCTGGCACTTCCCTCCTGTTCCGTCTCTATATTTGTCAACACCGAGGCTGAAACAATAAAATGCTAGCTGTAAAGGTCTGTTAACCTTACAAACATGGATCGTTAACATAAAAACGTACTATAATTAAAGTTTGCAATTTTCCCCATTATTTTCTTTCGAGTTCTGGTATAAATCATTTTAATAGTTTTTGTAATCTTTTGCAACTGCGCTGAAACTAAGATAATTTAATGGATTGTTTTGAAAGGCTGATGCAACACTTCTTTTTTAACGAGACCGAGAAAGCATGAATTGAGAAGAATTTAGGTCGGTTGAGTCATACGTTGAAGAATGCATATCAAACAGAAATATTTTTTGAACAGTATTAATTTGAAATAAAGCATTAAGTAACATATATATGCGACACAAAAAGTCAATCTTTGCTAATGTTTGTGGACATTAAACTTCGCTTTAAATATAAGTGTATTATAGCTATTGATAAATTTGTGTTTTTAACAGCAAAATTAAAAGAAGATTTTGAATTATATAAAATGTTACTTCTTTGTTCTCTAATTTACATCGACGTGACCAAATTATGTAAATGTTTACTGCAATAAACAAAGGCGTTGGAAGCAAGTTGAAAGGGGGGGGGGGGGCTTATTTGAAGTAGGGGGTTAAACCAATAAAAAAGGTAAAACCAAATTTTAAATGCCTATATTATATATGTATTTGCCAAAAAAGTGAAGGGGGAGCTAAGCCCCCTAGCCCCCCCCCCCCCCCCCCCATCCCGTTCGGATGCCTATGATAAATATAAAAAACCTCTCTGCATAAATCGTATATTGCTAAAGCAAAGAGCGAAACTGTTTAATTTCCTGTAATAAGTACAATCACTTCTCATTTTCAAATCGCTTGATGTCCTAAGATGCAATATATTTCCTTTTTAACAATAAATGGTATATTTTATTTTCAACTTACCATGGTATCCAATTATTACTACAATAACACAGAAATAATAACTGAAGTCCATTTTGTTCATTATTTCCACGTAGCTGTGTGCGCCTTCTTAGCGCCAGGGAGGAAGCTTCCTCTTCTTACTAGCGGCAGTAATAGAAAAAAATTCTGGATACTGAGTACACCTTTCTTTCAAGTAAGATTCTATAAACAGTTAAAGGATCTGTGTGTATACAAAAAGTGTTGAACATGACTGCAATATCAGATGTAGATCCATTCAAAAATCAAAATTACTTACAATATTCATTTCATTTTTTAATGTCAGATTTTAACTTATGTTAGTACATGTAGAAGGAATAGGACAAATGTATATTTCAACTAAATAATTTTTCACACAACTGAATATCGAATACAATTGTATTGAAAACTAGGAATGAAAGGCACGGTGCAATTCAGGGAATTTTTTTTAGGAATCACCAACCCTGAAATAAAAAATTCAATTTTTTTCTTTCCTGTAATCGCTCAAAAGTAATACATTTTAAAGGTAAACTTTGCATAATTGTACGGACAATGATTAAAATTAAATATCAAAAAATCAATTTGCTTCACACAAAGGCAATTGAACGTATCGTATAAGTGGAAATTTTAGCGAGAGGCAATTTAGCGAGAAAAAAATTTAAGCGATATTAATTAAAAGCTCACTTAAGAAGCCATTACAACTGAAACGCAATTAATTTTTAGCAATATTCAATTTTAGCGATCTCCGTATCTTTGCTAATAATGCCAAATTAAATCCTCTCTAAAAATTCTTCTTATACGGTATTGTAAAAATATATGCCTAAAGCAATTCCTGGGTCACTGCTTACTTAATTTTGAAAGACAGAATTTAATGCAATCCAAGTTCGTAAGTGTATAGAATGTTGATCAACACATTTCACAAAAGTTTTTTAAGAGAAAAGACTCTATAGAATGGACAATTTATTGATTATTATTGTTTAATGCTGATTCGGCAATATTTCAGCCATATTTCGAGGAGGAAGGAGAAAAATTGTGTCACAGCTCGTCATCAGTAAATGACGTGACAGAAGCAGACTGACGCCATTTTTGTCCGGAATTCTTAGCTTGGTAGATGATGTAAGCGTGAACAAAGGGCCGTAGGAAACAATAGTTGATTTACATATGAAGGGATGTCTTGCAATGAGGATAACAGCTCCCTTGATAGGAGTTTCACAGGTGCAAACAACGACGACATCCTAACATCCAGACATGTCTTAAACTTATTAGAACCCAGGCACGTAGCAACCGGGGGGGAGGGGGGGGGGGAGCAGGGGGGCCTGGCTCCCCCACTTTTTTCCCCAACAGTACCTTTACTATAGAAAATGTCCATTGTGAAGATGGTTGCCCCCCCACCACTTTTTACCACAGTACATATATAGCAAGGAAATATGGGAAAAAAATTGGAAGTGAAAGGAAGTTGGCCTTTAAAAAAAATTGGCTTCTACCCCCCACCCCCCACCCACGAAATAGGATTTTCGAGTTTGGAAAATTGTTAATTTTCGTTTTTTTTTTTTTTGTTTTTGTTTTTTTTTTTTTTGCTTGTCAATTTTTTTTAGGTAAGTAGAAATATTTTCTCAGGTTGGCACCCCCACTTCCAAAAACGATGCTACGTGCCTGGAACTCAACATTATTGATGAAGTTTTGGTCAATTGCTTATCTGTCAAAACCAGTTAAGAATGTTTCGGAGGTGTTAGTAGCACATGTCATGTCATTTACAATAATTCCCGTCTCATCAGGGGTTTACATGTATCTTATACATAGATCTATCAATTTCTTTGAATTTAATGTGATTTATTATCTATCTAATGATCAGATCAACTGTATCCTTGTGTTTACTGTATGGAACCATAGGGTGTTATAAATAAGTTTTTGCATACTTCGTCATCATGTATGTAATCTGAATATTTCATAAGTCGTTTCCGTAACCCTTTTATGCATGGGTTAAACTTGGTGACCAAAACGTTGGGTACAGCCTTTTTTGTTTTTTTTCTTCTTTATTTTTTTTTTAAGAATGTTCATTCTATTTGCAGAAATAGTTTATGTGTTATATATTAACGGGAAAGTGTATACACCTCCACCTCCACTTATAACGGAGATGTCGGAAGAAACACCATCCTTCAGATCCTCCGGGCAGTCATCACACGGAAATCGGTGGACTCAAAATCAGCAGACACCTAGGGGCGAGCGACCAACCCAGAAGAGACCGCGCACTGGATCTACTCCAGACCGCACTGACGACTAGGGGGGCGCAGGAGAGCAGACATCCACCAAATGTAATGACTCTGTACTGACACCTGATCGAATACAAAACACTTTGAATTTTTTATCTTTAAATGTCTGTGGAATTAAAAACCGGCTAAATTATAACGAATTTAAAGAATTTATTACCCAATATGATATAATAGTCTTCACTGAAACAAAAACCGATAATTCTGACGAAATTGATATCCCAGGATATACAACATTTATGAAAAACAGAAATAAGCTTTCAAAAGTAAGATCGGGTGGATTGATATTAGCAGTACGTGATGAAATCATAAAGCATGTAAAGATTGTAAATACTGATTGTAAATATGTGCTATGGTTTAAGTTAAATAAGTCACTTTTTCATACGTGTGAAGATTTGATATGCGGAGTTGTGTATATACCGCCTGAATCTAGCAAATATTCTTGTACAGATTGTTATATAGAAATTGAACAAGAACTCATCAATGTTTCCAAAGACCAAAAATATGTATGTTTAATGGGAGATTTTAATGCTAGAGTCGGGAATTTAAAGGATTATTTTACTGCAGATAATTTTTTGACACATGTTAACCATTCAGAAGGTGCATTTGAAGCCTCTATGTTATCAAGGGCTATTATTTTTGAAAAATATGACATTCCTTTAGATAGATCTGTTGAAGATACAATTGTCAACAATTTTGGCCATAAATTAATAGATTTCTGTAAAAATAACGATTTGTATATTGTAAATAGTAGATTCGGTACAGACAAAAACAAAGGTGGTGTTACTTGTAAAAACAGTAGTACTGTGGATTATGTTATTGCAAGTGTACAGATTTTTGAACTTCTACAACATTTTAAAGTACATGAGTTCTGTAATCTTTTTTCCGATGTACATAATCCATTGTCTTTTTCTTTGTCCACCTGTTCAATGTCTAAAAATAGTTCCATGTGTGAAAACCAACCAGGTGTAAAGTTATGGTGCCCCAATAGGGAAGCCGAGTTCCGTAATAACATTGATACTTCAGCTGTGAAGTCAGTTGAGCGTAACCTTATCGAAATGAGTAATAATGATATTTCAAGCACTGATATCAATAAGGTAGCAAAAGATATTTGTAATATTTTTACTAAATCAGCCAAAGAAACTTTTGGAAGTTTTCCAACCGGTCAATATTCAGAAAATAAAAAACAAAACAAACCTTGGTTTAATAGAGAATGCAAAACAGCTAGAAGAAAATTTCACTTAGCTAAAAGAATGCATAACTTGTGTAAATCAAAAGAAAACAAACAAAATCTTAGAGAGATGAGTAGAAGTTATAAAAAAGTCATGGATAATAGTATTAGAAATTATAAGGCTGACCTAACCCGTAAACTCATGCAATTACGCACTACAAATACTAAAGCTTACTGGAAAATATTAAATTCTTCTAATAAAGAGACAAAGAGTGCAGTAGATATTGAAGAGGTATTTAAATATTTGAAAGGTATTAATGAATGTAACAGTGAGACTGATGATGATGATTTCAATTCGGCTGATAGAGATCTAGAAACGAGAGAATCCTCTGATGATACACTTAATCGTGAAATCAGTGAAACTGAAATTATTGAAGCAGTAAACAAATTAAAAAATGGAAAAGCATCTGGTTTCGATAACATTGTAAATGAACATATTTCATCAACACTGTATACCTTTCTACCTGTGTACAAGATGTTTTTTAACATTATTTTTGATAGTGGACTGGTTCCAGATGAGTGGCTAGTGGGTATTGTTAAACCTATTTACAAAAATAAGGGCGATCCGACTTCTCCAGAAAATTACCGTCCTATTACT